CTACTTAACAAAAATATTWGTCCCAATTAATCAGTATTTGCTAATGGTCAGAAGTCAAGTGTATAACTGCATTTTGCAACTAATGTCTGTTTCTAGTTCCATTAAAAGAGAGAATACAGGTTCCTCTAGCTGGTCGTTTGGAGTTGATGTCATAATGTTTTCCAAGATATAATTAAACAAGCCTAGCTGTTACAATGTTTCTTTAATAAGATTATTTTCCTTATTAAAGGTAACATTTTAACATCAGCTGTATTTATCAACAATTATTATGTGTGATTTTTCTTTTTAGAGCTTTTTAAGCTGTAATATTTCTATTAATTTGGGGTTTGGTTGTAATAATTTGCTAGCAAATTTCCATATCACTTTCTTATGTGAAATGCAAATTCTTTGTCACAACCAATGGTGAAAAAAAATGTTTCAGAAAGATATTATTACTAAAATGCTTTATTTTTTTTTTCTATTTGTATTACTTCTAGAATGTTCTAAAAACTTTCCTATATTGTCTTTCCACATATATCTATCTCCCTTAGCAAACAGTACTTATCAATCTGTTTTCACGAGAGTATATGGGTATTGATCCTGGCTGTGGCTTCTCAAGCCTTAGCTTGGAAAAACTGGTCCCCSTGAGTACCCCCAATTCCTACTGATCTCTCCTTGATGAAGTAATTAGTGATGTGAGGAGWGGGTTTGTTAATTTTCTCATAAGCKCTTGGTTGGCTCCTCATCCATTTGCAGGCAGAGCTCCATGCATTGTGGCTGGTCATTGACACAGAGTGTGATACCCTCTCCTGGTATCCTCTGCCTGTCCTTCCTGAAGAGCCTGAATCCTTCCATTTCAAACTCCATTCACAGAAACCATCCTGCCCTGTCTCTGTGCTGTCAACAGGATCACAGCCCTGCAGGCATGTGCACGTCCTTAACTCCTCTTGGTTATTCCCCATGTACTTGCATAGAGGCATTTATCCTGGGCCCCCAAAGATGCCAACTTACTGCCTGGAGTGGCTGCAATTCCTTTGTGCTCTCTTCAGGTGCTCTCCTGCTGGTCTGAGATCCCTCTCCAGGCTCAGTGCTGGCATCAAACTGGTAAGAGTAGGATGGATTGAGGTTCCACTTCCCCGTCAACTTTAGTTTACAGCCCTCTTCAGCACCTTGTCAAGCCTATGGTGAAGGTGCTCTTTCCCTTCTCTGATGGATGGGTCCCATCAGCTCCCCGCCAACCAGGTTTCTCAAAGCAAGTCCCATGTTCAAAGATTGCCAGACTTCTGGTTGTGGCACCAGTCCTGTAACCATCTGTTGGTTTGCCAGATGCGAGTGGCTCTTTCAAACACTTTCCCTTTGATTGAGAGGACTGATGAAAAATCTGTTTGTGCTCCRAAGTCTGTTAATGCTGCTCCCAGGGCTCCATAACACCTCTCCATAGTCCCTAGAGTGTTCCTAGCTGTACCAGAGATACCCACATGAAAATCAGCAGCAGGTAACAGCCAGTGGACAGTCCAAGGCTCAACAGTGTGTCAGTGACATTCCTGGGAAGCAGCACACCTCTGGAGAGCATGTCAGGTCAGCAAACACGTGTCTCCATGCCTCCAGAAAAGTCATCTCCTGCTGTCATCCATCACTCTTAGGAGCRCTGGTTGTTGTTCAGCTGCCTCACCCAGCTCCAGCATTTCTCCTGATGTGACAAGGTCTCTCCTCCCCAGTCTGCAGAGCAGTGAAGCGCTTCTGCAACRGCACATGCCTAGGATATCTTGTTTCTATTTTCCGCTTCTCTAAAAGTGACTGTAGGCATAATCAGTCATTTTCTTGAAAAACAGCTCTTGTGATTTAAGCAACCTTGTGTCTGTTCACTACAGTCCCACTCAGCTGAGTTGCTATGTGTATTATGYTAATCCATTTTGGTGCAAAAATAAACCACTGTTCTTTACTACGGATTCTTTGGGAACAAAAATTACTATTTCTTCTATCTTTTTTCCTGTTATTTTATGTTACACAATCTCATTTTTGACATTTTGATTTTTGTACATCAATATTTGTGTCAAACATTCAGATCTATTTCCTTGTCTCCAAAGATTTCAGTCTGAATTTTTTGCTTTGCAATTCATAAACATCAATATGCTAAAACTTTGTTTACTACCCTGAGTATGGTAATTGACAAGTTAATGAAAGTATTAAAAGAAGACAAAACAGCATTTTTTTATGTGATTTCATAACTATTGAAGCTAAACACTTCAATGTTCATAAACATACTTGTATACCAGTGCATGGGAGTGAGAAAGTTTGAAGTATTTTGGCATAATTCAGAATTTACTGACACTTCAAAAATCCAAATATTTATTAAACACTCAACAACTGCTTATTTTAAAGCAGCAGTCCAAATTCAAGACTACAGTTACATGAACACTGAAACTGAGGAGGTAAGAGAATGATTAACAATTACATGTAGGCAGGGGTTGGTTTTCATGCTCCAGATTGTTCTCTAATTTAAATTGGGAGTTCCTATTACTAAATAAACCTGCTTATCARATTCTTCTCATATATAAAATTTCATATTTATTTTGAAAAGGAAGATTCAAATTCTGAGGTTAGTGATTCCTATTGTTTTTCCAAAGAGACCCTTATCAGCTTTCAGATTTTCTCAATGACATTCTCAGTTTCATTTTCGTATATAGGGACTTCTTTTGAATAYTGATTATGCACACAATCAAAGAAACTTTTGTGCTTATTGAAAAAGTTACCATTTCAATGTCTTCCAAATCYTGCATAATGTACAGGAACTTTATAGCCTATCCATCATATGGTCTGTATTTTTAAAGCAATTCKACTGGTAAAATTTATGGTATTAAAATCTTCCTTTCAGAGTTTTCCTTCATAAAACCTTTACATATTTTCCAGCCCCTATTATTATGCTTTGCAACAACACCAATCTGATACTTTTCTGCATCATTATTTCTGTTGCTTATCAGATTTGCATTCAAGATGGCAAAAAAAAAGCTGATTGTATACAAGGTTGTGAGGACTAGTTTTAAAAAGTCACTCAGAAATACATCTGTTTCTAAAAGCATTAACTTTGTAAATTATAAAATCTTCAGAAGAATTTGATTATACCTTAAAGAAAAAAAAGAAGAAATGTGACAAACGTGGATCCTCAGCAAAACATTGTATTACACTTCAAAGGGACTGTTGCCCTTCACTTGCAAATCTCAGTGCAATCTTACTTCAGATGGGATGATCAGGAACAACAACTCTCAAAAACATTAGGAGTAACATCAGTTCTGTAARGTCATGGGACTTGTTGCAAATAACAGAACTGGATGAACCCACCTGTTTCTAACTGTGCAGAGAGACCAGAGGTTAACAATGGAATCCTATGTGCCAACAGAAAGAAATTTCTGAAGGTGTCAAGAYCTGCATCGCCCCAAATCAGCAGGCTGTTTTAATTATCTGGCCAGATGAATATGACCTATCCAGGTTTAAGTTTTGCCTGCASTGTGTTTTGGGGATTTATATTGCCCCTTCTGCCTTCTGAGCTTTGCGTGTGGCATATGTAAACATGGAAGGGAATGCAGTATCGGGCTCTGATGTAACACCTTGCAATAAGAAGCCTCGAAGCTAAAAGCTGGTTAATCCTGTTTGGGGGCTGTCCCACAGAAACGATCAGAGGTAAAGTGAGAGGTATGTCTTAGAAACATAGAGCCCAAAGGCACCTAAAGAGGACTGGTGGTAAAGGCTGAGCAATAGTTTATGTTTTGTTTGGGTTTTTTTTTTGTGTAGATATAAAGGAGACATCATATATCTGTCTGTGGTAATCTGTAAAAGAACCACTTTAACATTTGGAAAGAAACTGCTTAAATTAAGGGAGARTTCTAAAGGCAGCATGCAGAGGTCTTACTAAAATGGACATATGAATAGTAAATGGACTGAGTTATGGAGAAGAAGCTTTTAACACCAAGATAGTAGGGAAAAAAGGAATATTCTAAAGCACTAMCTTTACCATGTAAAAGTCTATGCTTATTAAAGAGGGTTAAAAGCTGTTATCAACAACAATCTTGACAGAATCTTTGGCATCTTCAAAAATGTGACATGGGCTACATGTTTGAGASTGAATTAAATGTGAAATGTCTGTTTACACAATACCCTGTCTAACTGGCAGATTTTATGTATTTTTAAATATTGCTCATGGGGCCTTTTTTGTAGTAAAAACATACAAAGGCTAACTGAGGGATGCTGAGTGGCCTTTTGTTTCTAAGCAGGGACATTCCTAGAGGAAAAAAAAAAAGGAAAAAGAAAACAAAAAGACAATGATACACCGAAGAAAATATTTAAAGTCAAAGGAGAGAGTACTCATATCAGGTGCCACGAACCAAAGGCAATGGCAATAAAAACCTCAAAATCCTATGAAGAGGTACTAAAGAYTTAGAGAAAAAACAGACACAGAACAAGAAAATGTTACACCAMTCCAGGTGCCCAATAACGAGATAAAGCCCTGCCATGCCAGGCGTGCAGCGGGAAGCCTGGAGCTGCCAAGGCCGTCACAGACGTCTGGGAGCAGCAGCGATGCCAGGGTGCGACGGAGGGTGCCAGMGCACTGGCAGAGAGCGCCAGGGCAAAGGCCTGAAAACATGCAAATATTTCATGGAAGCCCCAGCAGGAAGAGAGCTCTGGCTACCGGGCGTAATCCAGGAAAGGAATTGCTCCAGGGGAAAGGACGCGGGGGAGGCAGAGCGATGCTGCTCCCCAGAAGGGATGCGCGGGCCCAGGGCAGCCGGGGCGCCACAGCCCCCGCAGGGCCGCCGTGGGGCCGGACGAACCGGGGGCGGTGTGTGTGGGGCGGTGTGTGTGGGGCGGTGTGTGTGGGGCGGTGTGTGTGGGGCGGCAGCGGAGCGGGGCAGTGCTGAGCCGGGCGAGGCGGGGCGAGCGCAGGGAGGAGGCGGTGCAGCCGCAGCCGCAGCCACGGCGGGCGGAGCGCGGTGNGGCGGGGCGAGCGCAGGGAGGAGGCGGTGCAGCCGCAGCCGCAGCCACGGCGGGCGGAGCGCGGTGCGTGTGCGCGGCCCGGCCCCGGCTCATTACTCAGCGGCCGAGGCCGGAGGCGGCGGTGGGTGAGCGGTGAGCGGTACCGGGGCTCCGGCCCCCGAGAGCGGCGGCGGGCGGTGGGGAGTGGGGTGGCGGTCGGCGGAGCGGCGCGGTGCGGTGCGGTGCCGGGGCGGGCGGGAGAGCGGTCGCGCCGCGGGGCCGGGCCGGGCAGGGCAGTTTTGTTTACGTTCCGCCGGGCGGGAAGGGAGCCGGGGTCGGCTGTGCCCTTGCCCGGGGCCGGGCGGCGGTGCGGRGCCCTCCGGCCCGGTGACCTTCCGTGCCTGCTGGAGGCTGGGGGGTTGGGAGAGGTGCGGGTGGATAATGGCGGGGACCTCTTTGTTGGTGTGGCAGGAGGGGCAGGAGGCTCGGCGCGGGGCTCCTCCTCCTCCTCCCGGGAGCGGGGGCACCCAGGCAGGCCGGGCTGGCCGCTCCGTCTTCGGGGAAGGAGGCTTGTGCGGGCGGGGCGGTGGGAATGCAGCCSTCCGTGGGCAACTACCATGACCTTGCTCTTAAAAATGCCTCTTAAAGCAAAAAAATACTTTGCTGGGATAATGTAAGTGCTCTAGATACAGGGGCTGGGGGTGACCGGCAGTGTCTTGCTTCTTTTGCCTTTTAATTATTAAATTGCTTGCAAACGGAGTAAGCTGTCTCTTTGCAGAATTTGTTTTGCTCTTTGATTTCTCTGTCSTTACATCCAGCTTTCTTTCCAAAGCCTGTTTCTTTATGCCTTTCTGCCTCGAGCAGTTSCATCAGTGAAGTTTGACCTGAGCTCCTTTAATAACCTACAAAAACAAATCCTACTTGATTATTTATTCCACTCCCCAGCTACARTAATGGTTTTGCACGTATGGTGTGGTTTTGAGTCTCGGTGTTGTACAGAACAGGCTTGCTGAAGGCTTCCAGGCAGTCGACAAATCCTACACGCTTTGGCCTATCTGATAATATAAACACAAAGGGTGTTATGCTTGTTCGGGGATGGAAGGTATTACTTGCCTTAGGGCACGTGCSTGTGGAATTGAGCAAGCTTGCTCGTTGCAGCTGGGTTTTACTTACAGGTGTGGAGACTTAACCARCGATGGTCTTCCAGGTCATGTGAGACCTAGTCTCAGTTCTAGAGATGCCAACAAATGTACTTGTAGGGCAGAATAGTAACTGACATGCCCCTGTATGTGTCTGTGGCTATATGAGTGTATTAGATAACTTGGAACCAGTTTAAACTGTAGCATGAAATGAATCTGGGCCAAATTTTTTTAAGGGTGCTGTCAAAGTGAGTTCATTGACTTACTTGAGTGTTCCTTGTGTATAATGAAGGGAATCTCTTGATTCTTCTAAGAGTAGCTAATAAAAATGTTCAATTTAAAATAGTCCCCTGCTTTGATCTTGTACAGCCATCTTCTCTTTTTACCCCACTTGATTCAAAGAAGCGTAACACAGGCTAGTTTAATAGTAGGATGTGTCGTGCCAGGACAGGGACCAGACACATTGCAGGCTGCCWGCCAGATCTTCATGGTTTTCAGGACCAGCTGGGCAAAAGTGTGATGGGAGAAGAGAGAGATGTATCTGCTGAACCAAAACTAATTCAGAGTTRCAGAAGATGTGCAAAGTTGTGCTCTGAAATAAGGGATTTTAATGATGCCTTCAAGTSCGAAAGTTCCCAAGATGTTTGGACYTTTGGTTTGTATAAGCATTCAGAGTAATCTTGTGGGCTACCATATACTTCATGGAGACTTCTAGATCAGAGTAAGGTGATCTAAGAGGTTTCCAGGTCCTGTAGTTTTTGGACTGCATGTTCTAGGCAGAAATGCAGTTGCCTTTTCTGTTTGTTTTTTGTATTCTTACTTTTAATCCTTCTCTTTAGGGACCAAGGCTTTTGATGGCTTTGTAGGTGTGCAGGTGTTACCTTCTTTGTGAATGCTTTAGGTAGAATTGTTATGCAAATATTAGGGAATAAGTGTTTTGAGATGATAACAACTGAATTTATTTTCTGCCTGTTACTTACCTGAAATAAATCAGTGTGTTTATTTTTTTTTTTTAATTAGTACTTGATACTATAATGCTACCTGGCTATTTACTTTGTATGGGTTCTGGTTTCTTTTTCATCCTTCCTCACCTKCTTAAATTATTTGGATGCTTATTGCTTAAAAGATGATAGAACCTACATGTTCAGCTCCTCATTTCTGAAGATTGATCCAGCATTCTGGGTAAATACAAATGCCCTTCTCCTGAAAAGCATGGTGTGCTATTCCCTAACCTTCATTTCCCACCCTCTCAGTCCCTCTCTTGGCAAAAATAAAGGCCTCTCTATCTATACAGTTATACTGTATTTATTTTCTATATATATAATGTTTCACTTTGGAAATTAGGCCTATCTTGTTTTGAGTCTGTTTTTTCTTAATAAAGGCTAAATGTATTTTATTGCTGTAAATGCTTCCTTTAAGAAAAAACCCTTAGTCCTTAATTCAAAACCTGCAGAAACAGGCTTCTGTTTATGTTACGGAAAGATGTCTTGGCGTTTGAAAGCTCTTTAAAAMTCCAGTTGAGGCCACTTATATTGCTTGCCTGCTGTGAAATTCACCACTGTTTTGCCATGGATTCTGAAATATATTTGTAAGGTATTCTTSTGTGTGAAGAGATAATGATCTTGGTGTACCAGGCTTCCAGTTAATAGCTACAAATTTCTCCTTAATTTTAAATGATTTTTTTTCTTTTAAGTGGTTCAAAACTAATTCTTGATTTTTTTTTCTGTCCAAAATGATTGGCTGTAAGCTTGATACTACCATCGTTGTTGCTCAGTGTCATTTTTATTGTTGGATAAATGCTTGATGTGTGAACAGATGGGATGCTTATTAATCATTCTTAGCTGAATATTACAGACTAATGGTAAAATGGGGACTTACAGAAAAATACACCTCAGCTCAATGGTCAATTGTGTCGCAAACAAAGCAAATATTGTGTACTAGCTTGTGTGTGTACACTTAAAATAAACAAAAAGGGCAAACATTGATTCTACAGTGCTACCGGACAGCTTGCTTGCTGTAATTATTGATTTTTGAGTACTAAGGAAAAAAAAAGACAAGCACGCAACTCTGACAACCTTCCATTACTTTATTGATGCTATACCAAGCATTTTTGATACTATATATATGTATCTATTTTAAAGGTGTGCAGGAAAATGTCTTAACCCAGTATTCATTCTTTTAACTGAGTTATGGCTAAGTGTTCCCATCATAGGCTGTGTCCATTCAAACATTTACCTTTCCCCTTATCTGCTGAACAAAAGTTGAAATRTCTCCAGGCTGGTATTTTGATTTTTGTGAGGTAAGAATGATGGACAGTGGGTATCCTTTCTTACTGCCATCTCAAAGTCATGGAAATGCCCAGGTTTATAAAATGAAATTGATTCTTCAGCTGTTGGTTGCTGGCAGAAGAGGAGCTGGAGCTCCTGCTGAGCAGGAGTCAGCACGGTGCCCCCCGTAGCCCTGAAGGGTAATTATTTACTGGGCTGCATTAGGAAGGAACTGTTTCTGTCTGTGGAACTCCAYTGGAAGCAGCTGCAGTCACACACACYTGAACTGTGTGAGAGATGAAYGGGAGAGTCCAGCACTGGGCTCTGCTCTCCAGGGGGCTAGAGCACCTGGGACTGCACAAGGGACTGGGTTTGCMGGCTGAGGAAGAGCATAATGCTAAATTTAACCAGCTTTAGGCAAGGGGTTAAAGAGGTCGTGGAGCCACTTGCCCCTCCAAATGAGTCAATGGCTGCAAGAGATAAACATGGAAATTTCAGTAGGACATGAAGGGAATGAATGTCGTAGTGCAGCAGTCACCYCCTGTCATGGATCAAGAGCCCAGAGGAGCCATGGAATACTCATCCAAAGAGACTTCAGACTTGACAAGGTCCAGAGCAGCCTGAGAGGAATACAGATTTGAAGTTCTAATTGTTTTGAGCAGGTAGATGATCTCTAGAGGTTGCTTTCAAGCTATATTATAATTCTACTGTTCATAGATTTTATAACTTCTATTTTCCAACTAGTTGGGGAGGTTGGCAAAACAAAGGCACGATGATCCAGGTAAACTGGGTTGCTCAGAACTGTGTTAGAAGTTGTGAAGGGAAAAGCAATGAGATGTGATAAGCATTTTAATTCAAGTCTGCTGGTGGCAATACTGACTTTTCTGCCCTGCACTGAACTTTCCAGCTGACTAGGTCAGAAGTGCTTGCAGACTAGCGTTAAGGCCAAAAAAAATGGGTTATGGTACCGGTCATGTCTGTGATCACTGTGATGAACATAGCAAYGCAGCCCTGAAGAAAGTCAGCAGTCAACAGCCTGGCAACCAGCTGAAATTAGTCTAGGTCTTGCTTCCTTTTGGAGGAGCAAGTTGGCAGCTGCAGGGCTTTGATCTGCTGGGTGGGTGATGGTTCGCTAAGCTTAGTGGTTATCCCGGCAAGTGGCTTCATGGAGCAAACCAGCTCYGAGTTACAACTGGTCACAGTAGCAGTCCATGACTGCAGAGGGGTGGCAGGATCCATGGCAGCTGGGAGAAAGAAAAAGGGCCATGGCAGATCCATAAATTACTCTTTAATGCTCACGCTGCCTTGAGAAGATGTCCTGCACAGTTCTTACATGTTTGGCTATTTAGAAAACCAACCAGAGTGCTTGGTGAAAATGAGATGAACAGTACAGAAAGTTATAACCCAGAGTGAGTGTTTTTTATCCTAAAGCAACTGTCCTGGTATGAACCTGTCGGTAACTTAATATGTGAACACAGCTACTCATGTGTGACTTCATGTGTGGGAAATCTGATGTTASGGATAGCACATCCTTGAGAATCCTAGAYGTATTCTTTAGTAGCTTCAACASCTAAGGTGATGTTGAAGTAAGTACTAGYCACAATGCTTACTTGCAGTACCATGGGTGTAAAAATGCATAGTTTTGATGATGTAATCCTTATGTTAAGTTTACTGTAGAAATAGTAAAAGTGAATGGCAGGTTGGCATGMCAACCAGCATAAATCTTGGTAAATTTTGGATTGTTCTTTGTGTTTTAGATACTGACAAATCCTGGTCAGATTTCAGAAAAGGAAGAGTCAGTAATATGATAACCTAAGAATGTTTATTAGAGAGGCTGTGGGCTAGGTTCACTTGTTTCATTTCGTGCTAGAAAGTCAGACACACAGTACAGGAAGGTACTTGGCATGGCACTGGCTCGTTTAGTGAGCAGTGCGGCCGTCCAGCACAGTTACAGCAGTGCAAAACTCATCCTTGTTGAACAGTATAATAGTTGTAACAGTTTCTTTTACTGYTTTTTTAAAAAAGCACTGCAAGATTCTTGTGCCACTTAAATGTGAAGATGGTGGAAGRAAAAGAGTTCCGTTTGTAAGTAGGTTGTATTGTACATAAAAAGGTTTTGTTAATACTAGCATGGCATTGTGGGGAAATCAGAAAACCTTGATGTGACTAGAGCTACTTTATTCCCCCCCCGTTTTACTTTATTTGAAATTCTTCAGAAAGTGTACACTGCGCAGCAGTGCTTCAGAAGGCTCCTGTTCTTGTTCAAGAGAAATGGGACAACAGAAGAGACTATTGCTGTTAGTAATTACTGGTGTAGTTTGCTACGAACTACCTAGAAAGTAGTTGCTTTATTTTGAAATGTACTGCCTTCCTTGCCACCCCACTCCCAAAATAGTATTGTGCAAAGTACTATGTTGTGTTAGGAGAGGTATCTCTGAAGGAATTGTTAGTGCTGAAGTTGTCATGTGTTGGAGTTTTTTGTTCCATTCTAAAGCTCTTATTATAGAGGTATTTTATGCCAAATACTTTTGACAGCATTTCATAGCACATTAATCTGCTTGTATTTCACAGATAAATGCATGAATTAACAAAAGTAGCACATTCATAATTGGATTCTAAGTTTTTGTAGCTGGGATTTAAAGTTAAATTTCATACAGTTTTAAAACATTTTGAAAAYTCTTTTCCCAGCTGTTATGCAAATGCTTCCTTCCTCTAGTGTTCTATAGCTATTGTCCTCTTGCTCACTGATATTTAATTACTATTTTAAAAAAAGGTCACTTGGTATCTTTTGTTTACTATTGTCGTTTAAAACAATTAGAGAAAACCTGTCGATTTTTTTCATTTGCAGAAACATTTAGCTTTTATATGCTTTGTCTTTCCCTGCAAGAAGAGGTTCAAGAACGAGCCTTTCCTTCCACCTGTAATCCTGGAATGGGAAAAAAACTCGTGTAGATCTTTGAATTGAAGCACTCTGAGTCCTATTTACTGCTTTACTTTGGTTATGGTTTGCCTGTTTATTGCTTTGCCAGTGGTCATTGGATAGGCAGAGAGGTAATAGATGCAGGCAGACCTTCCTGGAATGGTGGGAATCACCAATTTCTTAGGTAGTCAGCTAAAACAGCATTGTGCCCAGATTAGTARTTTATTCCTTTCTTGTGATTTTGGGTTAGTTTATGGTTAAGCTTTTTCAAGTATCTGGGGTCATTTTTCGTGAGTGGGCCCAGAGGGAGATACATAAAGCAATATGAAATGGCATTCCCTAGAATGCAGTAGTTCCAGTCATGATCTAGGTATGGTTATGATTAAACCTGTTTTGTAGGTCCAGCAGCAGGCATTCAGATTGCCTTTCTGACAGTTAAATTGTGTGCTTAAAATAGAACAGCTTGTTGAACTGTCGCTCTACTGAATTTCCACTGATTTCAGATTTTAAGAACATTGTTAATAAAATTGAGAAATAGTGCCCTGCAATAAACCTGAATATTTTAAGCTTTTTWAAAAAATGCATACCTTGATTTTCTCCCCATTTTCCATTCTTTTCTGTAATCTTTTATTTGAAAAAGGATTAAGGAATTGGAATATCCTTGTCTTATCCTGTTATTTCTGAAAAGGAGAGTTTTGCTAAGAATAATCTTTTAATCTGTTGTCATAACATCTTCTTTGCCAAAATGTAGAGTTACACAAGTTTTCTTTTGTTGAAGCCATTGTGGTTTATGATTTCTGTGACAAAACTGATGTGGAAGACATGAAGTGTTACTTCATGTATTGTGATAATAAGATTCATCATGGAACCATCTGTAGTGGAGCTTCATATGAGATTACACTGAAGAAGCTGTAGAGATGCTCTCCTATCAAATGTAGCACAGCAGAGCTTTCAGTGGTATTTTTTCAATAGATAGGGCACTACTCATTCTGATAATGCTTGTTCTAGAAAAATGCTACCTAATAAATCTCTTTTTGGTTAATTAAAGTCACAGTTTAGGAGTCCATTAAAAAAATCGAGAGGAAAGATAGGATGAGAATCTTCATGACTAGAAATGCCAGTTTACAGACTTTTTAGTATTGCATGCTGCAGCCTATCTGCCTCATTTGCAGCCTCCTGGCATTTGAATCTAAAACTTCTTTTAAAGGGAATGGAAGATACTCTCCTCTGCTGATATCTAATGACTTAGTAGAAAAAAAGAATATTTAATACTAGAGGAACTCTGCAGCGTATTCCGTTACAAATACATCATTTCACCCTACAACCTCCTTCCTGTGTTAAGCTCTGTGTCACAGGTGGCCTTATCACAAAATACAGCCCCCTGGAAAACATGTAATACAGAATACCATATTGCAACACAGTTTCACTCTGGTGAACTAGAAGTGATCTGTAATTTGGTGAGAATTCAATGCTATTGGCCACAGGGAGGGTTTTCCAGAGAGAGTGCAGTGGTATTCCAGAGCAGCTGTGTGTTAGGAGTTGACCATGAGAAATGCTGGGAAGTTGTATGTGCTGGTGTCTTATTGGTGGCTGATTTGGATTACCAGGACTGTGTCTACCACTGAAATTATCTGAGGCTTACGAGTTGAAGTGTAGGTAAATTTTAATCTTCATAACTCCTTGTGTGTTTTCAGGAGGTTTAAATGCTTATGTTGGTATCTTTCTCTAGAGGTAGCTTTATGTTTAGATTATGTACCTTTAAAGATATTATATTCCAGAAACCTGGAAATCTGGGTAGCAGCAGGTGTGTAATATTCACAGATGAAGAAGAAATGTGAGGTTTCATTTCCCTGTCACAAACTGCAGATTCCCCTGCTTGCTTAGAGGRGAGGGATATGGCTGAAGGAATGGTAGATAAGCAAGCACAAATTTTCACCTTTTCATGGAGCTGACAGCATGCATTCACTTACGGATCATTCTTTCCTTGCCTTCAGACTACTGGAAGTCTCAATATTATCTTCTCATTTTTCTGTTACCTGAATACTAATTTTGTTTAATGTCCCTTGTGATGAAGTTAGGGCTGCTTGTGGCTGTAATGTATGTTTTACCTATTTGACAGGCAGGCCCTAAACCAAAAGTCTTGATGATTTCTTCTGTGACCAGCTGCTTTAATTGTAGAGGAGATAGAAGACTGAGTAGCTCCAAGTGCCAGAGGTGAATCAATTACCTGACTGCTTTAGGTATGTGTGTGTGGTAGATAAACAGAAACATGCAGCCCATGTGGCTTTTTTCCTGTGCTTTATGGCAATCTCTTTTATTGTCTCTGTACCATTAACAAACAATGCCTTAACTCTTCATGCATGACTATTATATGCTTTTTTTTTTTTTTTTTTTTTTTTTTTTTTTTTTTTTTTTTTTTTTTTTTTTTTTGTTTTAGTGTTTCTGGTAGTAGGAGGGCTGTAACTTTGACTGATGGCATTATGGGACAATGTCTTAGAGTATAGAGAAATGGAAGTGCAAAAAGAGGAAGGTGGATTAAGCTAATTCCTCTCAACAGGAAGTTTACCAATAAAAAGCAAAAAATGTCTGCTTTGMAAAGAGAATCACTGCAAAGCTTAGGTTGTTTCTAAGTAATTTACTGTAGGGAGTTTGTTACTTGGTTTTTTGTTATCCTGCTTGTGTAAGGTGTGTGATGTGTTTTGTCTGACTGAAGAATTCAGTTTTCAGATGAATTCAATTTGTTATTAAACAAAACCAAATGTTTTAGTGGTACCAGAAATTATATTGATTGTCTTATTTTGGATGCTTTGCAAGAGATGTTTCACAATATGAGAATTAGCTTTAGAAATGTGTGGTAATATTGGTTTTTATATGGAGGGTACTCAGAAGCTGTGAATGCAGGTTCAGTTTTTGGAGTTAAAGCTGCTAACCCTCATTCAGGAGTCAGGATGAGAAAATACYGGTGTGTTTTTACTTGGTTTGCATAATTGTTTGCTTTGAGTTTCTGAGGGAAATGTGATGTGGACATGCAGACTGCCTGTGCTCCATGGGGAGCAGTGTGTGAAATCGCTGATGGAGCTTTGGTGGTTATGTCCATTCCAGGCTGACCCAGCAGTGCTAGGAAATGGCTCACCTGGACCAGTGTTTAACAGCAGGAATTGTTTCTTGTGGCTTTCTGCACATATGCATGTGATCTTACACTGCCTGTTTATAGACAGTATCAATATTCTGCTGGTTACAGTCTTAATTTTAGGGCTGCTAATCAGAGGTCTTTCCTTAAACAGCCTCTGAATCATTAGTTACTTCTGACATGGTATCAGACTGTTCAAAGGTACTTGGGACATAGAAGCAGAAAAGCTCAAGTTTCTGTTGCCTAATACAAAAATCAGTGTCYCCAACTTCAGATTTCCCTGATTTCAGGTTCAGTTGTTTAATATTTTGGCTTTGATGACTGCACCTGTGAATGATTGCTAGTTCAAGTTGCATGGTGTTAAGTGTGTAATTTGATGCAGGGAAGTCCAGCACTGGTAAAAACTGCAAAAAATATTGTTGGAAATTAGCTGTTTGAGCTTATTCCTGGTTTTGTTATTAACCTGTTATTGTGAGTTTTGAAACCATTTGGGGTGAGATTCCCAAAAGAGCATATTCTTTAGTAGAAATATCTCCTTTTAGTTAGGTGCTATGGTATCGATCAGATAAGTCTGACAGAGTGCTAGAGAACATGCCAGCTTCAAGTTCCTGTCTGTATGACTAACTCTGCCAGTGTGTAGATCCTGGGGCATCCCTGCTTCAGTGACACCACAGAACATTTCCATCCTCCGTGTCAGTGAAATTGGCTTTTTCAAGAAAGGATGAGTAACAGCATGAAAAGGGAAAACTCAAGGGGCTGCATTTGCCATCAGCTGCCACTGGGAGCTCTGCTTGGGAAATAAGTATGTTCCTCTTTCCTGGACAGATCYTTGCCTGGCTGCCAGTAATAATTCTCTCCGGTACCTCCCTTCAGAGCAAACAAGGAAGCTCCCAGTGGTGGTGGTTGTAGATGAGGCTGTTTCCCTGCTCTGCCCTTGCTCTGCCCAGGTGCTGTAGCTGCTGGCACAGCCCCTCYGTGATGTCGTGCACTGACTGAAGTGACTGAAAGAAGGAGCTGGTCAGTTCAATTGAGATGAAAAACAAAACATGCATTTACTATCCTTTTTTTGTATTTATGTAGATTTTCTTTTAATGACTCCTAGTTTATCTCTAAGCTGGAAGCTGGTTTCAGTAGGTGTGAAATTTTATGGACCCATTCTGCCCCCTTCCATTGCAGTTTATAAAGYACATAAATATTAGGCTAAGGAAGATTTAAAATGCAGGAAGCTCACTAAATGTAATTAAGATAAAAAAAAAAGAAAAGTTGCTTGTTTTTTCTGTGAGGTTTTCTCCTTTCCTGCCCCTCAAATTCTACTACAACAGTATTAGTATCACCCATTTTTGCAAGAGGAAAGAATAAAGGGCTGAGTGTGAAATATCTGTTTAAGAATTTTTGAGAAGCTGAGTACCGTTTAACAGTAGCTCTGGAGACAGCTCTGGTGTTTCCCTAGAACATCCTCTGCGTATAGAACATCCTCAGGGTGCTTGGATTCTGATTTCCTGCATCATCCTCACTGTGTGTTTTATAGATGGGGTTAAAAAACACCCAAATGTTCCTCTACTAATTCAGGCTCTGCTTTGTTGTTATTTTTGTCTTCATGTTRTCCATGATAAATTTTAAATATTTATTTCTGCTTTGATTCAGGATGTGGGAAAACTCTTCAGTCACTACTAATCAGGGTGAAAACTCTAAGGTACTTCGTGACTTGTTAGGCCTTTTATGCTTTTTTTACTGCCTTTTTATAAGCTTACATCTGGAGCTGAGTGTTGCAAGAAAGCTCCCTCTATATAAGGTAACAGGATTGCTTGTCTGTTCCAAACAGAACTGGTATTTGGGAAAAGACATCAGTCATGAAGATTAAAATCAGATTATCAGACACTGTGAACCTGTGCTGTTTAAGTGGTAGGCACCTCTTTGTTATTAATGGGCTTCCAGGTGACTTTTGGAATGCATAAGTAAGTTCAGTCCACTGCAATTACCTTCAAATAGATGATCTGTTATGGAAACTGTAATAAGGTGAATAGTGGCCAAGAAAAGACTGCTGGAGTGGAGAAGGGGGTGGCTTATTTCTCTGTATGTCCTCCCCTTCTTAGCAGACTGCTCAAATTACAGTAACTATCTTAATAAGGTGAGATGGCASATATATATGAAGAAAACTGTATCTRGTTTCCAAGATGACTAGAAAAAGTCATCATGTGATCCAACTGGAGCATGCTATTAGTCACTATAGGAACCTGTAAACTGCCACATTAAATCACTGCAGAGGTGGCATTACTATTAGTGGATTTTGTTAATTGTTTATTAAATTAGGACTCTATGTAGTTGTTCCCTGCAAACTATACTGCAGACCACGTTAGTGTAGCACAGAGGGCTCTAATAAATCTTTCCAAGAGATKGATAAATCTGGCAATGGTGTTTGCAGAACCAGTGAAGTAATTCCTTTATTCAAACGAYGCAAATTACAATTTCTTAAGTCATTTGCTATTGTGTAGTCAAAAGTATTTTGCTTTATAGCCATATTTATTTTTCTATACCAAATGTGTAATCTTTGTTGGAATTATCTTTAGTGGAGAAAGCCATCTGTTYATTGTTAAATACTCAACAGGTTCTGGGAAATCAAGTAATTAACATTGAATTTTCCATATAAAAATGGCAAAAAAGAAAATGTAACAGTCCTAAAGTTTAAAAAAATGAAATGTGCCTTAAATTTCTTGTCTTCAAGCAAACTGAATGAACTTATCCTTTTTTCTTTGATCTTGAAAGCAGTAGAAATCTAAATGTAAAACAGAAATCTAAACACAGAAATCTAAATGTGTCATTGTGTTTATTCAGGTTTCCCCTGCTCAGTACTTGGTGAACACTGWGGTCTAGTGTCCACCTTTGCTTTACTGAAACTGTAACCAGTGAAGTTTGACTTCTTGGTGGGCAAAAGGTACATTCAAATGTACTGTTATKTCAAGAATGTACTTGCACTGTGCTTCAGACCTGAGCTATACAAGAATCACCCCAGTATATTTGTGGTTTTGTTTAATAGTTGCAAGTAGAAAGTAGCTGCTGAGATCAGAGCTGTGAACTTCTAATTTCTGCTATGCTGCACATCCTCTGAGTGGTGTAAGGGGCAGAGTTCTGCTGTAATGCAGGTGTGCATTAGCTGAGGGGAGAGGCAYTTCCATGGGCATTGCTCATCAGCTGGAGGCCTCTTTAAACACATGTCAGCATTAGGAGTAGTTCAGGCAACCATGTGGAAGTTGTTYAGCTTAAAACGGTCTGATCTGTGAAAGCACAATTTGAAAGCCATGCAAATCCTATAGTCAACAGTGAGAATATTCCATTTTATAATAAACTTCAGGTTTTTCAGACATATTTGCCATTTGTAATGGTTTAGTAATATCCTGCTGCAGTTTTCACCCAGCTAATGTTAACTCTTTTTTCCACATTMCTTATCAGCATTAACATKTAATACAGTTGGAAGTATTGCAAARTACAACATTCAGTTTCAAGGGCAGCATGGAAAAAAACATTAAAACTGTAATTACTTTTGAGACTGAATRAGCTGTGAAGTTACCTTTATAAACAGAATTCTTTTGTTTTCAAAATTTGAGCCTTTGAAGATGTGTGAAAACTGGGTGGTGTTTGCACTATCCATTTAGCAGACGTCCAGAAACCTTTAAACATGACAGCTGAAAATTAGACAAGCATTCACAAACACATGATGCATACAAATCAGCTATCTGTGAACTGCATTTTCACAAAGAAATTACRTAAAATTCATTAATTCCAGATCCTTATATACTCTGTGCATTTGTTTTGGATTCAGTAGCAAACTAGCATGTGCTTGAAGRACTGTTGAATTTTTCTGGGTCACCCACAGATTCCTACAGAATATTTGTTTTCATAGTGCTGGATGCCTTTTAAATGGAGTGATTGAATCATCATTGATATGTAGCTTACATTGTTATATTACATGGAATATGTTACTATTTAATATGTTGATATATATAATTGTTTTATTTTAAAATTGCCTTCTTCTATTTCTGCTTCTCTTTGACTGTCATAGTCTTCATCTTTTGTCATTCCTACTTCTGAGCAACTCCTTTAGTATTCTCCAGCTGTAGAATAATTTTGCCATGCAGACATTGCTGTTAGTTGGTGTTTGTGTTGTACCTGAGACTTGTCCTCATGATAAGGCCAGTTTTCCTCTTCTGGCTGAAATTGATTGTGTTACCAGTGTCAGGTATTCCTGGTGGTAGTGACCAGGAGTATTTTGATGATTGGAATACCTGAAGACTTGTTCATGTTWTGTCACTCCTTTATTTATGGAATCRTGCAACAGTTCAGGTTGAATGGGRCCTCAGGAGAGTGTCTGGCCCCAGCCCTGTTTCCCTTGCTGCATGTGTGTGTATGAAGGGATGGTCRGGTTCTTGGAGTTCTCTGGATGATATGGAACTTCCTGCCTTTTGATTATCTGTCATTTCCATCTAAGAATTTTCTGCCATCCATTCTCTTTTGGTTTTCTATTATTTTTGACCTTCTAGAATATTACCTTAGGAACAYTCCTAAAAATAGAGCATTTCAAGCATGTGCCATCTTATTCCTGTACACAGTAAAAATAACTTATATGTGCAAATGGGACTAATTTTGGAGATGTCTGATATGTCTTATAAAAAATTTTGCCTTATGTCAGATTGCATATAGTTTTAAAATCTTAGATGTTAACGTTTTATTTCTTCATAGGCCAGAAGCAAAATTTGGATGAAGTGAACGAACCAGGTTGCCGTCATGAGCAGGAGCAAGCGTGACAACAATTTCTACAGTGTTGAGATCGGAGACTCGACTTTCACTGTACTGAAACGGTATCAGAATTTGAAACCAATAGGATCAGGAGCACAAGGGATAGTATGGTAAGGTTTTGTTAAAATGTAAATGCATATTTAGGTTTCATTAACATAGTTTTTTGAGGTGTTGTATTTTACAGAGCGAGAGTGTGGAGAAAGCCTTTTATGGGCACACCAGCAATGGTAACTGRTGGCCATTTTCCCTCAGCAAGGGCAGTTGGTGTTGCTTTTTCACCCGTGTCCTTAGCAGCTCCCTTCCAGAACTGATGCCCCTCTGTGCAAATTCACTAGYAGTGCTGAGTCCTGTAAATTAAAAGGGAAAAAAGAAACTGGATAAAGAAGTAAATCCTAATCCTGAATTACACTGCTTGCAGTGAAACAAAAGCCAGAAATACTCTATATGATATTTTCTACTTGTAAGTGTTTGCACTTCTTGGAGTGGTTTATTAGGAGTCTATTTCACTTAGCTTCATAATCTGAGTAGTCCTTGATACCAGTGAGTGAGCATTTGGGATRCTGACTGTCATATGTAAATGCCTGATGCAGTTCAGAAAACTATGAATTGACAATGTCATTCTTTGAATAGGAGCTCTGCTGTGTGGACTGAAATGTGTCCAGTTGATTTAAGTTGTTGACAACTAGCTGCTTGTAGGCACTGTTTCCGTGTAGTGGCATTGCCTCAAAGAGAAATGTTGGTTTAACCTTCCTAGAAGCTTTGTTAAATGTTTGAGAAGGATGTAGATAACCCAGCACCTTGTAGACTCTCCCAATTTATTGTAACTCTTGAATTGTTAACCAGGCACATAAAAATACAGAAACATGAAGGAAGAGAAGGGTAGGGAAAAGCATAATCTCAACCACATACCTTTTTTACTACCTTGATCTTGTCTTGATCAATGTTGAGAGAATGTGTGGTATGAGTGAGTTTTTAATTCATGTTTGTTTTTTAGCAGGGTAAATAAAACAGTGTAAATGGATACTTGAAGAAAGCTCTAGAAAGAGTTGTTTTTGAAATGGTAATTTCTGGCATTAAGATTACTGGTGCTAACTAGCAGCAACAAAAAAACTTATCTGAATTTTGTTTGGCTGTGTGTTAATATACTGAGGACATAGACAGTTGCTTGGCTAGTTTGTTTAGTTGTTCTAGAAATGCCAGTAAAAGCTTTAGATGGTGTTACTGTCCTTATGATGGCCAGTCATATGTTACCTCTGCCTGTTTTCCAAATTTATTGCCCTTCCTAGAGCAGAGATCYAAAAACTGACCATGTAATGACTCTRGTGCCATTCTGTTATTGCTGCTAGTTGTAACTGAAACCTTTTTAGTTAAATCTCTGTGCTTATCCTGAACTGTGGTTAAATCTTGCCATGTATCTCCTTACAGTGCAATTCTTGTGATTTGGGTCGATGGTTTGTCACTTGGTTTTGTTATTGTAGCAGATTCAGCTTGATTTGGCAGAATATTTTAGATGGCCTAATATCGAAACAGGCTCAAGGCTGCTGTTATGTRCAGGGAATGCACAAGTTTAAATACTGGTACAAGAGTCCCATGTTGGCAGCCTTCCATAAGATAATTCGTATCTTCAGGCCGAGTGGTGGAATTCCAAATATAGTGGAAAATAAGGAAGTTACCCGTACATGTTGTGCCCATATTTTTTCTTCARTAGTGTCTAGAGGTTTTGTTGATTGTAAATTACAAATCATTCAAGCCTGTATGGTACAAAGACAACCCACCTTTTAAAGTAATGAGTTGGATTTAACAGGTGCTGCTGTTTACTGGCAGATATTCTCCTCTACCATTCTTGATAAGAGACAAGAAAATAATATTTTCCCTGCTGAGACTTTTTTAGTAACTGATAAATATTTCCTGAGTCTGCATGGCAGTCAGCTGTTGTATGAGTTCTTACAGGAAAAACAAGCCGTGCCTTCCTGTCATGGAAATGTGATATGTAAGGGAGTTGTCTCCAATAACAGTCTTCATCACTTARACAGCCTGTGTCACTGAATCATATGACAATCTTGGCATTAGTCTGCAAACAAAATGAGTTTTTTATTTCACCAAGTTAAAGCCAGTGATATCTAGAGGTTAAAGCTTTCTTAACATTTTTTTGTCTTGACTTTTGATGCTGTCATTGTCATCAGGATATTAAGTAACTGCATAAGTGAAAGTATGGGACCTTTTTATAACCTACTTTTCCTGCCTTCTCCCTTCCTTTTAGTGTGAAGGTTTCATGTAAAATTGATGTGCTTTCTATGTTTGAAGTGTTTTGGATCTTTTTTAGGTGGTCTGTTCTTGAGTGCCAGTGAGTGGCAAGAAGTCATTATCTTTGGAGGCAGAAATCCTACATTATTTTGTAGAGATTGTCATGTGTTGATGYTCTGAAGCTGGGAAAGATTTTTAAATTTTGAATCACTCAGCATACAAGAGCACTTTGCTATATCACAGTCCTAGAGCTGTGTAACACTGRWAATTTGGGGTTTCTGCAGACATGAYACAAATTATCTGAAGAGGGTTGCAACTGCCACAGCTTAAAAGACCTTGACTCTAGCGATGTAATAATGTTATTTTTAATTACAGTGCAGCTTATGATGCCATCCTTGAGMGGAATGTTGCAATCAAGAAGTTAAGCCGACCGTTTCAGAACCAAACCCACGCTAAAAGAGCCTACAGAGAGCTTGTTCTTATGAAGTGCGTTAATCACAAAAATGTGAGTGCAGTGTCCTGCTTCAGATGTACAAGAATTACTAGAAGGTTATCCTTTGTAAAAGTCTGGAAAGTGACTTTTACATTGCATGGTTATATCTACAGAAGAGTCTTGCAAAAAAGCTATTATTGACCAGTTGTAATACCTGCCCAATTTTTARATACCCCCTTCAAACTCAGCAAGGGAGTCAGTGTTACATTGCTAAAATTTACGAGCAGCTGTCAAATAAGAGTACTATGGCTGGTAAATGCATCCTGCTGCTAGACACAGAGGAGAAAAAATAAAAAAGCTGTTACACCTTTTTGTTTCCTGGTGCATGAATGAATTTAGAATCTTTYGTTGTGACAGCAGTTGCTGTATGATGTTTATGAAGCTGTTCAATAGACAGAATCACAGAAATGGGGAGAGAATAAGTGATAAATTTATTGGAGTTAACTGCAGAAGGCTGGTGTTGGCCATTTTCTTTCTCCAGAGTCAAATGTATGCAGTCTTCCTTACTTTCTCTCTTAATCTCTCAGGAAGATAAAATTCCTCCTGCCTGCTAGGGAGGRAGAGTGTCATGGAAAGCTTACTCTGTCTTTTAGCCTTTTGGGAAAATTGTATAGTTTTTTTTCAGACAGAAGTGGTTTATATGTGGCTTCTCTGAAGGACGTTCTACCTAACTGCATAATTTGTATGATGATAAACCATAGTGAGCCTGCCTGATTCTTGATGAGCAGTATTTTTGCCTTTTTCTGCACATCCCATCCATTCTTAATGGAAAATGGCCTAAAGCAGCTGTAAGACCATCTTTGTGGTGAAGTTGTTTCTAGACCTGTCAGCGGCAAAGTGACAGACTCTTTTAGGGAGTCCTTGTCAGCTTTTAATTTTATTATTCCTCATATGCAATAAAAATCTTACCAGGTCTCTTCAAACTGAAAGTAGGAGGAAGGGAGGACTGACKAAGCTCCTTAGGTTTTAGGATTTTAATATCATCTTTTTAACATACACAGAGTGTCTTTAGATTATGTGATTTGTGGAGGAAAAATACTCCTTCCAAAATCATTACAATCTGTTTGCATCATGTTAGGCCTGGTTGAGCTGAGCATCTTGCGCTTCAGTGTGTACCAGGAGGTTCGTATCAGAATGATAGTTACCAGTTTTGAAATGTTGACTCTAAACTTTGCTATTGCTGTGGTACAATTACACTTCCTTTCCCCCTCCCTGCAGATAATCGGCCTACTGAATGTGTTCACACCACAAAAATCCCTGGAAGAATTTCAAGATGTGTAAGTCAGATTTGAGCTAAAGCTGAGAATTTATTTTAAAAATATTAATACCAAAAGATGAGCAAGAGAAAGAATATAGTAAAATGGCAGTATTATCTGATTATTATTCTTTCTTTTTCCTTCATAAGCTACATAGTGATGGAGCTCATGGATGCAAATCTCTGCCAAGTGATCCAGATGGAGCTAGACCATGAACGAATGTCCTATCTTCTTTATCAAATGCTGTGTGGTATCAAACATCTTCATTCAGCTGGAATTATTCATAGGGTAAGTGGACTAAACTGATTAATTTACATTGCACCTGTTTTACCTTGAGTATTTAAAGGATAAAAATCATTAGAAATAGAAGCATGAAGTGTTTCATAGCCTGTCCTATAAGCAGGGAGAGAAAGCTGAAAGGAAATCATCGTACCTTTTTCAAGGTGATTCTGGAATGAAACTTAAATGTTTAAATGATTTGATAGCAATCTTCACAGAGCAAACTGAAGATTTTTGCAGTGAGTTACATTACCTTCTCTAATTCTATATAGTGTTCTACTTTAGTAGTCATAGCAGGAAAGAATGTCTGGAAGCATCTCTGCCTTTATTGTTTTTGGTGACCAAACCTGAAATCCCATCTTTTGAAAGAACTGCACGTTTTATTTCTGCTCCTTTACTAGCAGAGTAATGAATAACTATCTGAAATCTCCAGATAAGGAGATGATGATAAAAGACTAGTAAGTGGAACTTGGATTACACCTATATGTCACAAATCATTCACTCAGAATGCCAACAGGCACAACTGACTCCAGCTTTTTAAATGGCATGTGTGTGTTGCAATCCAGTCAAGATATTATGAATTTAAGGTCGCTTGTTCAAGCTGAACATCTTGTATGTAATGGTATGTAGATTAGAGATTGCTGGAGATTGTCTGCTTCTCARATGCATTCTTGTCAGTTTAGAAAGCAGTAAGCTTGTATTTTTATWGTACTACATTTTTCATTTCAACTTTTTTTGAGAGCTTGAGAAGTTTTCATTTCTTACGTGATAGAGAAGATTAATTAAACTTAGTCATGGGGAGGGGTTCAGTCATCACTACACAGTCTTCCTCATGATGTACACAGGAAAGCAAATCACAAATGGCAAATGTGTGTGCTACTAGAGGAATTGCTATTGGGGTGCTTGTCCAGGTCAGTGGTCTGCCACATTGCTGCTGGGGTGTTGAATGATCTGTAGGCTGGATCTGGCAGTCTGACACTCCTGTTCACTGTGCTTTTTGGCTTTTCCCAAGGGAACAGTGACAATTGTTTGAATAGAAAATACAGCTTGAGTGGGCAAATACTGCTTCCTTTTGCTGAGGTACTTCTGGTACTCATCAGCTGCTTCATTCCAGTGAAGAGCTTAGGGAATGAAGGTGAAACCTTCCTTCTTGCATGGAGTTCTTGAACTGCTGTGTTGGAAGAGATGGGCAAGGATATGTAGGGAGAAGCATTGCCTGCAATCAGGCATTGCACCTAATGCTGCTTGGTTTGATTGTGAGCATTTGGTTTGGCTTCTTGCATTCTTTCGGGAATGCTCGGCAAAACTAGGTTGTTTAACTTAATGTTGTGGTATTATATTGTGTGTGACTGAGATTATGCAGCCCTTGGTGCTCTAATATCTGTGCCTTTGGGTCTGAAATAATGGTGTATATGCAGTTTCACATTTCCTGGTCTCTTCAATACTTACGTATGCAAGTTTAATGCTGTGGATTTTCCTAGGTCTTTTTTAGTTTTGGAAAATGGTGTATTGGTTGGACATGCTAGAGTAGGTAAAGTAAGAATGTCCCTCTGTGGATCCCAGCACAATCTTAAGGGAGCTTCTAAAACTGTGCTTGCCTCAGGGTGGTTTGCACATCTCTGAAGTGGGCATTGATCCTGTAGAAGTTGTGGATAAATTTAAACGTTTTTACATTTACAGAAAAGAAGTAACTATTTAGGTAGTTGGGCAAGTTCTATCCTCAAAGATGGCTTTGAGGATAGAACTCCTGCCTCTGTAAATATGGGTTAAGTTTTTGAAATGCTTCATATCATACAGGGATAAACTACCCTAAAGAGACTAAGTACAATTGCTATGTAAATAGCACTGTATCTACACAAGAATGCTTTTGAAGGACATTTCAGCTGACAGCTTCTTCTTAGACTTTGTTAGAAGATAGAGTATACTCAGGCACAGCGTTCCCGGCTGTGTGCATTTTGCCTTTTTCCTTCAAAGTGTAAAGTATTAAAATTTTGTTTCTCTGTGGAATCAGATGATCAAAACCTTGGAAGACAAAGGAAGGTRTCAGCAAAGGGACACGTGTCACATGGACCATGTGGCCGCAATGGTGACTCTTTGTACCACTTTTCTGGGCTCTCAGCACCAGTCTTTAAATGTCCAAAGCTAATTACTCTATTGAAACTTCTTAAACATAGCCTGCACTACTGTGGCTGCCCAAAGAGCATTCTAGCTTTGAATCTAGTGCTCTACTTTAGTGATATCTAAAGCTTTAAGCTTTTTTTGGTGTTGGTAGTTCCACATGTTTTCTATCTGGATTCTTCAGCTTCTAACACAGCTGTAGTAATMTCAGCATCTCAGTAACTTTTTCAAAGCTCATTGAAAGACTGAAATTACAAAAATCTGTCTGTGTACCTTATAGCACTGGATACTACTTGCCGTAGAAGTAACTGGGTTTTTTTCATAGCAAGCTAGAGGCCTGGAATAAAGCTGAAATAGAACACAAAGAATTTCTGTCAGCTTCACCTCAACGTTGTAGGRGCACATTTACTTGCCACATCAGTGGGTATAGATTTGACTGTAACTTTACACTACCTTTARCAGATGTTGGCAAACCAACATTACTGTGTTACAAACATTTTGCAGAGATGCAGTTTCCAGCCAGTGTAGAAGTACACGTTCATTTATATTTCATAATCTGAGGATGAATGATTAGCATTGCAGAGATTTGCCTCACTGACTTTCTGAGGGACACAGAGTGTCTCATTAGTCTTGCATGGAGGCTCTGAAACATTGAATTCTGCCTGATTTTAAGTGCTTTAACAAAGGGGCCTAATTATGGAGGCCCTTCACAAATCTTCTGTTAGAAAGAGAAAAGCCCATAGAAGCCATGAATTACTGTCCAGAGGTGTCCCTGTCTCCTTGTCTGACTAAGGGGAGRCAGCATGAGGAATCTGTTTTTTGAGCACTGACATTTTACTTTTTCAAGGTTCAGTGAGAGATTTTCTGCTATAGGTTCTGGATATATTTATCCAGCCTAATTAACTTGATCACTCTCAAGCTTCTGAATTTCTGTTTATTTAACAGAAGATATATAAGAGATGCTCGTTTTGCATCTCTACATGAATTTGAATGCTGTGTAAGTCAAGTCTGGCCTTTGTCATTTTGATCCTAGGCTTTATGACAGCTACATGGTGTTCAGAAATAAGAATGGACAGCATTCTGTAAGAAAAGGGAAGATCTCTTAACATTTTGAGTATTAGTCCTGCAGCTTTAGGGAGGATGAGTATAGCTAATACCATGAGCATGTTCCTGATATTCTGCAGTGAACATCCTGAAAATGGTAGAAGTGTGCAGAAATAAAGCTGACAATAAACAGGACTGCAGCAGAATCTGAAACATGCATATTAAATGGCTGGAAGGCCTTATAGAACTTGAATTAATTTGTGGTGTTTGAGAATGTTTCAAGCCAAAGTTGTCTGCAGAGTCTTTGTGTGGAAATGCATGTGTGAATATGCATGTATGCAAGACTTTTAATTACTCATTAAAATTCYGTTGTGGAACTCTTTATTTTGTTGTTTCCTCTCCATCTTTAACACMGTTTTCTTAGCATTGTGAGGAGATTGCTGAAAGCCATCCAAGTACAAATGAAAACTACATAAATCTTGCAGATATACACTTTAAATCTTTATGAAACAATGACAGATAGGGCTACTTATCAAATGCCTGCAGCTCAAGTGCTGGAGTCCTCTCATCTCAGGTTTTTCTCTCATTAATCTCAGTAGAGTACAGGCGGGAAGTATCTAAGTCTTATCTGTGTTAGCCTCTGTGCTGTGAATGATTTTATGATTGCAAAGTTATTCTGAAGTTACTCTGTAATATTTACTCTGTGACATTCAGGTATGTGTAAGATCCTGCTGAGATGATGACAGAGTAAGCCTGTGTAGTGTTTGTATAAATAAGTGTTGCAAAGCCACTATTGTCAGTAGGGTTTAAGTGAAGAGAATACAGTTACCATGTTTCTAACTAAAATGATCTGAAGCTATCTCAGCATTTTTCCACTCAAATTTAATGATTGTGTTAATATTTGGCAGTTTTTCAATGGTGTCTTTTTGGGTTTGGTTGCCAAAATTAGTACGAAACCAAGTCCTAAATGGGAAACTAAAGCCATGTGGGCATGATTCTGTTYAGAGAAATACATTGATTCAAAGGAGGTAATGTAACCTCAACTAGCAAATAAACATTTTATACACATATTATAATTCTAATAATTATGTATCAAGATGATTATTGAATCAACCAATTTCAGCAATTGTCATCTTACTTGTGTTCTGCATTGTAGTAATAATTATTGTTCCAGTGAGCAGTTTCTAGACCTTTCCTCAGAGCTAACACTTCTTACTAACCTCAATTTATTTCAGACATTGCTAACATATCTTGTAATGCTGGTTATATTTTCCCTCTTTAATTGCTATATAAATCTACAAGCACAATAAAGGAATTAATTCTGTAATCTSCTGAATGCACATGAATTAATGCAAGGGGAAAAAAGCTGCAGTTATAGCAATAACCTAGTTGTATGCATGGGATTTAATGTTAGCAATATTATCTCTTTTAAAATGTGAACCAGAGAGTACTTTGTGCTTGTCTTAGCAGTCATATATGATGTTTCTCTTTAAAGGATTTAAAGCCCAGTAATATAGTAGTAAAGTCAGACTGCACTTTGAAGATTCTTGACTTTGGACTGGCCAGAACTGCAGGAACTAGTTTTATGATGACGCCTTATGTAGTGACTCGTTACTACAGAGCACCAGAGGTCATCCTAGGGATGGGATACAAAGAAAACGGTCAGCAAATATAGTCTTTCTTTGGCATAGCTTTATTTTTTTTTTGTTTGGCACACCACATTTTACATGTTAATGTTTTTTTCAAGCTGTAGAAATTTTATAAATTAGTCTTGTGACCAAAATGCAGATTCTGGATACACCAATTTGTTTATTCAACTCAACCCATTAGAAAATGTTTGCATTTAATAGAAGAAATTGAGGGCTTTGTTTTTTTTAAAAAATTTAAATAACTTCCTTGGAATATTATGTGACATTCAGGAAGAAGTGGAAATATATTTTCTTAATRTGTGGTATGTACTTTGATGTACCTTTAACTGACTTTATTCCTGGTGAAGATGTAAATTGTAACTCATCAATAGATATGTGTACTAAATTTGATGCTAAATAACTATATGGGGTATGGCCTTTTAGGAGGTAAGGAGCATAAAATCTACTGAGGAACAAGCAATCTAGGACTGTGGCATTGCTTTTCATTAAAACCAGCTTCCTTTAAGCCTTTTGCATCAAGTTCTTAACATTGCTGAAGAAAAACTCAATAACATACTTGAGAGAAGCGTACACAGAGTACTGTCATGATGCATCATAGATTGTTTGAGGTCCATGACAAATTCCAAGGGAATTTTACTTTGTCCCCTCTGCTTGCATACACTTCCCTCCTCACTATATTCGCTCTGTGATCAGTCTGCCTCTCAGTAACTTCTACATGAAAATAAAAGATCTTTCATTTGAGGGAAGCACACCATCAAGTACACTGCACTTTCCAATGAAACAGCTAGTAGTAYCTGTTAGCAAAACCAAGTGACATGCCATTCCTGAAAGTCCCTTGTCGCAGCCTGATTCTGCTGCCATGTTGCTGATGGGCTGTGTCTGGGGTCAGGCAGCTCCTGTGTGTCACTTGTGAACACCTCAGGCCAGCACARTGCCCAGGGGTCACTGTGTGTGTTCCAAACCCTCTGCTGGCCACTCCTCCAGAGAGGCCCTGAGCTGCCCTGCTGCTCCAGGAGAGCTCTCCTGGGGATGAGAGCTGTGGCTCCTCACCTTCCTGACACAACTAGGGTTTGTTCTACCTTTCATATTCCTGATAGAGTCTGCAAACCTGCCTGGCAGCTGCATACCATTACAGCAAGTGACTTCAGGCTGTGTGTGAATGGTGTTAGCAATGAAAGAAGCCAGCTTAAAGGAATGAGAATAGATCTTTATYGCAGGACTGTGGGGTTTATTTCTGTTAGGATTGTTAGTGCGTGTGAGAGGACATACATTTCTTTAAATGGCCTCCATAGCTGGCTGTTTTTCTTGTAGTTTAGGAGCCATGGGTTGAATAGAGCAAGTTAGCTTCTCTTTTTTAATTCTTGAAGTTTTCTAGATTTGTAAATTTAAATTTGTCTTTCTTTATTTCCCCCCCCCCCCCCTAAGACTTGATATTGGCCATTTAAGAGACATTAAATAAAAGTACCTAAAGCTGTAGTATTGAGTCATCCRGCTGCCTTACTGAAGGAATTGATAAAGTGAAAGTCACAAGTTTTCTGACTCAGCTTGCCCAGTTTGAATTTTTCTCTTAAATAGTAAGTAATTTTGCATTGCAAAAGTGTGAAACATTCTTTCCACTAMTGGAGTTAGATTGTCACAAGCTTGACATGATACTGCAGAACACAATCCTGTTCCTTAAGGAAGCAGGMGTTGTGTTGCGAATGATAAATAACAGTCTACTTTCAGTTGAAAAACTATCACATCTTCCCAGATCCAAATACATGGTCACTGAAATGAGATTGGTACTTCTGGAGAATGTAAAATAAATGTATGGAGTGAGTCCAAAAACAATTGCATTTCCATATGTACTGTTCTCATTAAAAGGCAATTATGTAAGGTGCTACTCTTCTCRGTTGAGGAGTTTGTGGAGCTCCCATGACAGGGAGATGGGTATCAAGGATGTACTTACAGTAAGAACCATGGGCTGTCCGAGAGCCCCACCTGTTAGTATTGATGCCTGTTATAACCCTTTAAAGTCATAGTTAAATTAACTGTGAACTTGTAGTATTGATGTCTATTTTAGCCCTTTAACAAGGGACACTAACTAATTTCAACAGATTTGGKTATATTTTTGGGCAGCAGGTTGTTGAGCAGATCAAGAAGTCAACATTCAGAATTTTGTTTATAAAGTCAGATGCAAAACTTGTCTTCTTTGGGTCTCTAAGCCAAAGAATATGTACTTAAGTATTGAAGAGAAAAAGAGCACAAATCATCAAATGTTGACAATATTTTTTTAAATGAACAAGGCCCTTAATTTTGACCTATTAATATGCACAACTGTGATCCCCTATCATATTATTTAGATACTATTTTAGAGGAACTTATAAAGGAGAAGGAATATAAAAAATAAGCAAAAAGAAGAAGCAATTGTTTGCTTGACATTGTTGAGCTCCTTCAGAACACTGACATATAATAYTTACTATACAATTGTTCTTTTAAATCCCTTTATGTGCTTAATTGAAATTCCAGTATAATATTTGACATAAAAATATTCATAATCATAAAATTCCATTCTTACGACTTCAAGAAAACTTTTGCACATAGCATTAACAATATCTTTGAAAGCAACAGCAAAAGAAATTGGCTTACCTGAACAAACTAAACTTGTGCATCTTTAAGTATGTCTTCTGAGTGGTTTATTTTAAAGTAATGTAGAAAATGCATATTTCATTTTTTTWWWAAAAATTGCTTTTGAGTTTTTCTTTTGTATAAAATGTTATTTCAACATAACTGGAGAAATATTTTAAAACAAACAATTTTAACTGAAAATCTCGGAGCATACTAACATTGCCATTAACTGATCCTCTAAAATTCTAAGTGATCTTTTACTGATTCTGTTTGCTTTTAATTTAAAGCGAGAGAGAGATGCATGGTAATCTGACTTACAGGAAATGCTTCATGTCAAATTTTAATTCCCGTGCAATACCGAGTTAATTCTCCTAAAAAGCATAACTGTTCTCCTAAAAAGYGTAATTGTTTCAATAGGTGATATTTTTACAGGTCAAAGTTTACTTTGTTACCTTTCGAATTGTTCCATSAATTACAGTGGAATGACTTTCAAGAAATCAAACTGCCTTTGGTGCTTGAGTCCAATCTCTTGGTAGAGGTAGCTTTGAAGCCTCCAAGCCTTTGAGAATGGCTTTACTCTGCTTGATTTGTGTGTGTCTCTCTCTCTCTGATCAAGCTCTTGCTCTAGCACTGTATTAAACAAAAGGATGTTTTTCTGCCTTATATTTGAGACAGTTAAAAGCTTATCCTTACACATGGTGTATTTTAAAGTGTTTTCATTGATTAATACAAAATACTTGCTCTTCCTGTGCTGTCTCTGCAGTTTATAGGATGCAGTCATGTTACGCTTCTTTTAATTTTAAATGACCGTTTGCTTTGCTTTTCCTTCTTTTTGTGCTACAAACATAGTGGATTTATGGTCTGTGGGGTGCATTATGGGCGAAATGGTTTGCCACAAAATCCTCTTTCCAGGAAGGGACTGTATCCTTGTGCTGCTGCAGCAGGTTGAATTAGTTAGGAAGTGATTAACCTTTTTATTGATGTTGTGTCATGAAGATKCATATTGTACAATTTTTGTTTTTTATCAAATGAACATGGATTTTTCTTGTGATACACTTACAAAAAATTAACTTCATTTATATTCGGGCTGCACCTAGCAGTAGGACATAGTCTCTGCTGGTCCTGTAGTTAGCATACATTCACCTTCACTCATTTTCATTGCACATGCTTTTTATAGTCACTTCATGTGTATGTGTGTGTCTAGATATTTTTATTTATTTTATTTTAATAACTATCTTTTATGTTAATATCATTGCATTTTGTTTTCAGTTGACATTTGGTCAGTTGGGTGCATCATGGGAGAAATGATCAAAGGTGGTGTTTTATTTCCTGGTACAGATCGTATCCTTACCCTTGGCCTAGGATGTAGTTATAAAAGGTCAAAAGATACTGCAGCTATACAGTTCCAGATTAAGGTGGTTCTAACTTTTAAAATACTGGTTTTAAACTGCCTTTTCACATTGCAGTTTGCAAGTTCATTATATAACACTTGGGCAAACAGACTTTTTTTTTTTTCTTTTTCCTTTTTTTCCCTCCTTTTTCTTTTTTCAGTTTAATATAGTCCCTATCCATTACTTTTGAATGTTGTCACACTTAAGACAGATTTCTTTTGGTTTAGGTGATGTTTTACTGGTTCACATGCATTGGTTTTTRCTTTGGAGGTCATTTTTATGTAGTAACTTACTAATGTTGTTTAGTACCTGAGTGCCTTAGCAGTTTTTATTCTTTGCATTTTATAGAAAATGTTTACAAAAATTCCTAACCATCTTCATTAGTTACACTCTGGAGATTTATGTTGTGTATGCAGAAATGATCCTGCAAACAGCTTTCAGAAATATCTGGCATTTCTGTCTTTGTATTCCATGAATGATTTGGTGGTGTCTGTATGGGTTGTCCTGTGAACAGTATTTCAGACAAAGAATCTGCTCCAAACGAGCAGAACTGAAACCTCTAGATCATTGCAAAAATTAGTGAAAATAATTGGACTTTGGCATCTTGTTTTACTATTACAGACCAGTTTTTTTAGATGTCATCAGAAATTTTTCCTGCTTTTGCTGCAGGTTACTGTTTAAAAATTGATACATTACCATTTAGGGGTGAAAATGGGATGGAGACTTTGAGCCATGGTAAGGAAATCCAGAGCATCTTTACTTTCACACAGCTCTGTCATTGCATGAGCTGCACCATGCTTTGCTTTATGCATCTGGTTTGCTGGCATGGCTTTTCAGTTTTGACTCAGTGCCATACAACGTAAATACTTCTTTTTGTCAAGGTCTGCACTAAAGCTCAACAGAGCTTGAGAATCCTTATATGCAGATCTGTTGTTAAGTTTCAAGAATGTAAGAGAGGGCCTGCTACAACACGCTGAAGATTTAGATAGCCTGGTATCCAGTCTTTGGTGGCAGCTGAAAGCAAAAGTTGGGGAGAATACATGAACAAGCATATATAAAATTTTATTTGAGCTCTCCCCCAGTATTTAACCATCTGCATCTAGGAATTTCTGAGCCAAATGTTACTTTTTTTGTTCACTAACATGTATTARATTCTTATGCCATGAAGTGGTCAATCTCCCCTTAACAGTGTGTAAACTCAGTTACTATGTTCCTTGCATCCTTGAAGCTCTTTAACTTCATTCAAGTCCCTGAGAATATTGTCACTGACCTGTGTGGGCCAGGCCTTGATCCTTTGTGTGCCCACTGGTGCTCAGTGTTGCACATCCTTAGTGAGAGGTTGCCCTTAGGGCTGAAGTCCTTAGATAAGAATGAAGGACAAAGAATGATAAGAATGAAGGACAAAGCACCCACATGGGGTCATTCTCAGGAGCGCCTTGGTGATGTGAAGGAGCTCACTGCTGTGAATGTGTGTTCAGATCAGGGACTGAGTTCTCCAGAACTCAAAGAAAGGCCTTAAGTTAAATTTGCTGCATTGAAATAATTTGTGAGTCTTCTAATAATCTTGTTTCTCATTATATCCTTTTCTAGCGAGTAATGATTTTGAATGAAGTACATGTTGCCTTGACTACGCTGTCATAGTCTTGCTTTTTCACCATTTAAGAAAGTAGTCTAAATCATGACAATGAACTTTATATTTTATTATAGTTTTCCATGTTTTCTCTGTTGGTTATTTTGTGTGGTTTTAACATAACTTTCTAGCTGAAAACTAGACACAATGTTTTTCTTAGCTGCATAACCTTAGATATTGATCAGTGGAATAAAGTTATAGAGCAGCTAGGAACACCATGTCCCGAATTTATGAAGAAATTACAGCCTACAGTCCGAACTTACGTGGAGAACAGACCTAAATATGCTGGATATAGTTTTGAAAAACTCTTTCCAGATGTCCTTTTCCCAGCTGACTCTGAACACAATAAACTTAAAGGTAAGGTCTGTCTTCTGAATGTTGTGTATTTTAGAAGTTTTAAAATTGTGATATATTGAACAGAAATGTTGCTTGGTTTTGTTCACTGTWAAATCATCCCGCTAAGGATTTAAATATTTATATCATGAGAGTGGATGAATGTGCTGACATGTGCTTGCCTCCACTTTTCATATCTTCATGAGACAGCTCCTATTCTTGGAGCTGTCTTTATAAAGACAAGTAAATATCTATATTCTTCTCAATGACAGATGCCAACATGGTTTAGAGAAAAATGGGGGGAGGTTGGAATAGAAGTTGTGTAGGCAGAGCAGATCTTTGTAGTCTAGGGATGAAAAATATGTTCATAATACATAAATACCCTGTAGTTACTTCAGTGACTTAGTGGTTTGAAAGGCCACCTCCTCAGTGGAATCACTCATGGTATTTTCTGTGAAATACTAAAACCAGACAATGTTGTTTCACATGAGGATGTCACACCAAGGGACACTGCTGAAAATGTATAATGAAACATGTCTGACCCTTTTCCCACCTATGTCATTCTCTTCAGGTTTTTTTCCATCAAATGGACCACTCTCCTAAACTTCAAAGTATGTCAGGGTTGAATAGATACTTAACTRGAACTTGATTACTCTGAGCCTTCTTTACAAGTTTGAAACACTGTGTTATGTGCTTTAAATATGACACTAATCTGAACAGAAAATTTTATTTTTGCAGCAAGTCAAGCAAGAGATTTGTTATCAAAAATGCTGGTTATAGATGCTTCTAAAAGAATCTCTGTKGATGAAGCCCTGCAGCACCCATACATCAATGTTTGGTATGATCCATCAGAAGCAGAAGCTGTAAGTTCTTGTTTTAGGTCTCTGCTTASGAAGCTGCTGTAGAAAGCCTTCTTTTTGTGATGCTTGGTACAGCTGCTTAAAAGAAGATTGTTGCACATTTCATTAGAAGCTTAACTGAGCCCTAATCATTTTTATTGGTGTCAATAGATGTGTTAACTGGACATAGTATCAGGAATGGGCTGAAGTACCTGTCTCTGTTAGTGTATGATTGCATATCATCTCCTGAACATGTAGTTGTGCATCTGAAATCTTTTATATAGGGTTCCAATTTATTGAACTTCTATTGTTTCAGTGTGGTTTGATTGCCCTTGATGGGCTTCTGAGGTATTTACTTCTGGGGAAGAAAAATATTTTCATTATTTGTAGGAATTGATAGTACCCTTCAGCCAAATCCAGATACAAGTTCTTGAGCTTTCAGTTATTAAAACTAATGAATAAAGGGATTAATTTTTTTTTTAATTGAAAAACTTGTTTTAGCTTATGAGAGAGGTGTTATTTTTTAAAAAGAAAAGTGGTTGGTGATGGCCACTAAGAATAGAAAAAGCCACTTGATGTAAATGGAACAGTTACAATTCTGCAGCTCTAGCTAGATAGAAAATTTAGTAATTAACAGTAAGTACTAAAAAGAGCTGCTTGTGATGGAGAATGCTGCACTTAGGAGCYCTTTTACCAGACTGATCAGTTTCTCTTTTAATTATTACAGTAATGTAAGGAMATTTGTTAATCAGAAGAACTTTAAAGACTGTGGCATCATCTAAAATATAGGCTAAGTCCAAATATGAACAGATACATGATCATGTAAATATRTTTTAAAATCAGTTTCATGTTCTGAATAATTTAAGTTTTAATTTATACTGGGTTTGTATCCCTTTTGATTGCTCTGTGATGAGTTAGTTTTGTTTTTCAGCCTCCACCAAAGATACCAGATAAGCAGTTGGATGAGAGGGAGCACACGATAGAAGAATGGAAAGGTAAGAAAGGATTTTAAGTATAATAAGACTTTTTGGAGTATGCTGGGCCCCAGTGATTACTGTTATTAATGTTCTTCTGAGCAATCTAATAATATTTACTTCATGTGCTTGGATGGCAGTGGAACAGATCAGTGCTTCTCAACCTCTCTTTGTTGGAACATTAAAACTTTCCCTGCAAAGGAGAAGCACCTTTGAAGTGAGCTGAAGACCTGCTCATCTCAAGTCACCTTTTGCAATCCATAGGACAGCATTTGTAGGGAGGGTAACTTCTGGACAAACTGGTGCAAGTGAGAAAGATGCAGGGGCTTGAGCAGGGGACATGTGAGGCTGAATTAGAATGACAAGTTTTCAAGTGTTCCTAGTTCTTCCTTTGAAGACTACTGATGCAGTTTACCTTACCAAAGAAGCCATTAATTAAAACTGAGTGGGCCTTAAGACTCAGCTTAGCCTCAGGTCTCCAAGCAGCGTGGATGAAACAGCCTTAGAGCTATGCCAGTGTGCTCTCAAGAGTGCCAGGCCACTGTAGCTCCAGCAGAAARGAACTGGACTTTTTTGTATCACTTGCCAGTTGTTGTGTAGCCTACAACCTGATGTTCAAAACTAATTCTGAACAGTAATAAACTAATGAAATTTAAATGGACATTGTAATGGGAGTTGTGTTATTGATCCAGTCTTGGGCTTGCAAATTCATTTTTTGCCTTCCCTTCTCTGCCTTTTCAGAGTTGATATACAAGGAAGTCATGGACCTGGAGGAGAGAACCAAGAATGGGGTTATACGCGGCCAACCAGCCCCTTTAGGTTGGTTACAATAAAAGCACAGTGCAAGGCTCCATTGAGATATAGGTCAGGACATCCAAAAGTAACCCAATTCAAAAATATGGGTCTTAAACCCCTGAACTTCTTGAACTGAGACTSTGTATATTTGAGTGGAATATGTGGGGCTGACATAGCTTTTTCTTCATCTGTTCAGTCCCTCTATGGTTGTCTCTGTGTAATTGATGCTTCATTCATTTAAGTCCTCAAGAAACATCCTGATATGTACTGGTGCTCAATTGCTATAGTCTGGTTAGATATGTAAGGTGTAGCTGGTACAGKTTCAAATAAGATGTACCACTGTTTATATCTTTTAAATAATGTAACAGGATGTTCTAAGTGGGAAAATTACGGAGCACATTTAGCACTTAATTTTGCTGGATGTTGGAGCAAAACGTGCCCATTAACTGACCATTGATAAAGTTCAATGGCAAAATCTGGACTGCTGTTCCTGTCTCTGCTCAGGGTTCACTGAAGTTCAGACTCAGAAAAATCCCTGGGTGTCTGAGATTGAATGGATGTGATGTGGCTGGGCACCAGCAATTCCGCAGCCTCAAGAGGAGGAGGAACAAAGCCTAACTCCTTTTTTCTTTATCAAACCATGTAGATATATTCTAGTTTAGGGTATCTTTGTAGTGTATCTTAGCTCTGGCTTTATGATTATTGTCTTTGGGATTTTTTAGCCATTAGCTTTTACTGTGATTTGACAGCTGCCCATGCCACGTGAGTTCCATGGTTCTGGACATACCATCACTTAAGCCCCACATTAAASACTTGTAGGTTTTATTTATTGTGACAATGGATTGAGACATATCTCTTCAAACTTGGCAAAACAGGGAAAAGTAACAGCAATTAGTAAGAGACAGACTAATGCAAGTACTGAACCGTGCAACTGTATCTGCAACTGATTTGCTGTTTTGTTTCTCATAGCACAGGTGCAGCAATGATCAATGGCTCACAACATCCATCTTCATCGTCATCTGTCAACGATGTATCTTCAATGTCAACAGATCCAACATTGGCCTCTGATACAGACAGCAGTCTAGAAACCTCAGCTGGACCTCTGGGTTGCTGTAGATGACTACTTGGTCTTTTGGGGGGTGGGAGGGGGGTCCTTTTAGTCATTAATAGGGCACTTTTAAAATTTGGTGGTATTTTTGAGTGTTTTTTCAAAAATAATCATGGAATTCATCATAAAGTGCTGTAATTTCAAACTGTAAGTTGTGTTATAAGCAGCCACTTTTTTGCTGTAACTAACTGTAAAATATTAAACCTGATAATTTTTATTGTGGTTTTAAAATCTGCATATTTGCTTTACTATTATGCTGCTGATCTTTTTTTACTGAATTTGTAAGATTTGTTTTATCAAAGCACATATTAATGTTGTGGTCATTACCATATGATGAATTATTTAAGATTTTATAGGTTTTCAATTTTTTAATTAGAATTTATTCCGGATGTTTTGTTCATGATAATCCTTCAAAGTTTTATGCTTGGTCATACATCTGTGTCCAAGTGGAGGGGGAGAGAGTTCCGTGCAGCCAGCTGTAGTTTCAGGCATACTACTGTGGTGCTGGGTAGCAAACAAAATCCTCTTTTATCTTGGCCACTTGCCTATAATACTTCAGCAAAAGCAACAATTAGTTTTTTTAGGGAAACAGAAAAAATCCTTTGCAAACTGACGTCAATTGAATGGGTTTATGAACTTAAGAAAGCAAAGCATATCTTCAAAGCTGCAGAAATAYCCAGCCTAGCAAACTAATGTGATGTTTTCTGCAGAGTTATGGCATGCCAAATCTTGTGATCACCATAAAACATGAGGATACTTCATGAATAATACATTGCAATGCCAATAAACTGTTTACTTCTAGCTTGTAGCCTGGTTTTGTACACACAAAATGAAGTGTATCCAGGATGTTTAGACTGACAAGAGGGAAAATGAATATGCTGTAGCTATACTTTCATGTAASACGTGATTCTTGGGAGTTTTGGTTCTTACTAGTTTTGTCTACTAGGGCAAGTGCTTTTTGGGTCAGAGGGAATGACATGAATGCAATAGGGGCAAAACTTCGGCTACTCTTTCTCCACCAAAAATAACTGATAGCTAAAAACCTTAAAGTGGTAGGAGAACCTCAGGATTTCTGTAGCTAATGCATTAAGTGAGCAATATACGCCATCCAAAGGAGGGAGTAGTAGTGCTGTATAAATTAATATTTATCTCTTGTATTTCACCATGAGATCAGTGTAGCAGAAATCTTAGCAGTGGTTCATTTTAAGTCATAAATACTCAGTTTTCATCACCGAAGCTCCAGGTTTCAATACACTTTTTAAACAAAAGATATATTGAGATATATAGAACAGTTACTAAATAGTCATGTAAGATGGTGCTGCTCCTCACAGAAGTATTTTAACTGTTTACATTTTATATTTACAGAATRATTTGTGTGTAACTGACTTAAGTTTATGTATGAGTTAAACAGTCATTCAGAATTTATTTCTTTGGGAAATGCAGATTTTTAGTGAAGCTAGGCTGCATAATTGATTGCCTTGTGTAGATGCATATTTTGTGTAGTGAATTAGAATGTGAAGAGGAATTTAAATTAGTAAAGCTCACAAAAATGGGCATAAAGATACAGAAGTCTTGCCAGGTGCTGAGCATAAGCAAGTAATGTTACTGGCTACAGAGGTCATCCAGGAGTGACTGGTGGTCTTCAGTGTGGTTCCTTCTGCCTGTTCGGTTAAATAAGCATATTTTTGAAGTTTTAACAGTAAGAGGAAAATTTGTCTTTGCAGTAAGTTTCAGAAAAATAGAAGTGATAGTAATGCTTTCAGTATCTAACATGTCTTTTTAAAAAACATGCAACGTTGCAAGGAATGGTAATGTCTCAAAGATAACTAAATTGATAAATTTTGATAAGTTTTCCTGGCCTGGCTAGACTGCGGGTAAGTGCTGTGTCCGTTTAATTTTGCTTTCCTCACTTGTATCTAATATTTCAATATTGCCTTCCTAAGCCACATTTGTTAAGGCAATTATTTTTACAGAAACCTGCCAAATTGTATATTACCTCAGAATAGGCGGGGTAAGTTTGGATTCATCTAGCACTGGAATGTAGAAAATCTGCTCAAGTTGAACAGAGACCAACAGAACAATCTATTTTGTAATTTTTTTATCAAATTTGAAGCTGTGAATTAAGCCAACATTTTTGGTCAAACAACGTACTCCATTGTTATAAAGGGTCAAATGATAGTGTGGTCAGCACAGTGTAATGAAGTTAAGACTGACAAAAGTAACTTCTGATGCCTCTAAGGGYTGTTATAAACAAATTGGTAAATATAGTTTCTATTTATTTTCGACCCCACTGGATTGCAGTGAGGATTGAAATACTTTGAAACTTAAAAATATTTCTTCTATCACTTTGCAGTGTTTTAAATTTGTAGTAATGAACTAAGCTCATAAGGTTGAAGGAGAATTGAGCCTTTCTTTTTTCAAGGAAGGGTTAGTGAATGTGTGGAACTGCCCACTGCAGCCTATTGCAGTGTGAGTAAGCTGCGCTTAAAGGGTCAGAGCTTTGCCTGTGGAAACCAGGAGCTCACTTTTGGCATCATATTCACAGGAGTGTTGCTTTTTCTTTTTGGTCTTTTTTTCTTCAGTTGCTTGCATTGTAGGCAAATTAAAGTGATGGCAAATTTCAAAGACAAGAAAATCACATTCAGTAATCAAATTATTACAACAGCATCCTAGTCTTAACTTCCCTTTTTATTTGTTGAAATGTAAACTTTTTTCAGATAGGTGTACACTGCCACAGAAAGCATACAAATGGGGAACTGGAGTTCAGCTGTCTTTGTCTGTTGTTAGATTATAGGCTATCCAGTACACTGTACAATTTTGAAGTATTGTTAAGCTTTATTTTAGACTATGATTCGAAATCTCATTACAACAGGCTTCACTGAAGTGCATGCAACTTTCTAGGGCTGTTCCAATCCCCTGGGAGYTGGTATGGATTGAACTACTATGAGCTGGCTGATCTCTTACCTCAGCTGAGGTTCAAAGTTGGGCAGTAATAGTGAGATTGATTTCCACCTTCTCTGGGCAGAGCTGTGGCAAGCAGCAAGGATAAAGCAGCTCTTTCCTTTTATAGTAGGTTCTTCAAGAATTTGTAATAGYGATGGGGCAGGGGGTGAATTAGTACCCTTAGGGTGTACTGGAATGGTGTGCTGTGAAGTCTTTGGTTGGTGCACGACAGTGGGTCAGAGCTGCTGCATTGGTGTGTTCCTGTGTGAGCAGCTGTGCTGCCTCAGCTCAGTCCCCTGGAGGAACACACAGCCCTGGGACACTGCTCAGCTGAGCAGACATGGCACTTTGCCCTACCCAAGCTTGGCCTTTTAGCTTTGAAGAGCTTTTACTATGTGAGGTGCAGCAGCACCTTTCTGGGCAGGAGTTGCAGCTCAATGCAGCATCAGCACCAGTGGTGTGGTGGGGGTGTCCCATGTCCCCAGCATGGGCTGTGGCTGTAGGGCCCTGCTGCCTGGCATTGCTGGGGCCAACACTGAGCCCCTGGGCAGGGGTACTGCAGGGAGGGAGGGAGGGAGGGATGGATGGAGCATTCAGCTCAGCAGTGCATGAAGAAAAGTATCAAAAACCTCCTACAGGAGGATTGATCCTACTTAGCCAATAATCCAAAGTGTATTACAGTAAATGTTTCTTGATTAAGATTATGGGCAAAAGGGGAGAAGAAGGTTCAGCTTACACTTGATCTTAATCTTTCAAGTTGCTAAAGGAAGTGAATTAGAGTCTCTAGATCTGTGTTTATTTGCTACTGGCAGCAGCTTGTCCATGCTGTTACATTTTATTTTCCTGTCAGTGGTTTGGTGGATTGAAGGAGAGCCTGTCTCTATTTTTCAGTAGAATTACAAAGAGGTTTTTAATGAAGAAATATGATGAGACTGTACTGCCTACCCAAATTTTCAATTAATTTATTCTTAGTTAAGGGCACTGGATAAAAGTGATATTTTAAGTGGTCTCTTTCACTGCTTTCTCCTCTTTCTATGTCTGTGTTACAGAAACGTGTTATGAATCAGATCACATTGTGTTTCTACTTCTGCAGTTCAAAATTTAAACTAGGTTTTCTTGAACTACCTCACACAAAACTTTCTATGTTTCTTAAGTAAGCAAAGCTAACCCTTGCTATTGGAACTACACTGAATGTGAATAGAAAATACACCTTTAGAAAAACAAACCTATTGGCCAATGTTGAGATAATATCAGTATGTTTCTTATCTATTTCACGTAAGATGTTCATGTGTAATATATAGCTTGTGTACAGTAATGTACATCTAGATTATTGTGTTAGCTGTAAATTGGTGATTTTATTATTGTAGTCTGGTTTTGTAGGGTAAAAAATAGCTTACTAGTAATGTCAGCTCATCCTTTACATTTTACAAAAGGAATAATTCTTGGTAAGCTTTGCATACAGATGAATTACTTTTGTAGGCCCAATATCTAGTCTATTTTTGAGAGTTCTTTAACTTTTGTTACTAAAGTTGAGAAAAAAAATCCCACCCCAATTACTGTGATCATTCCTTTTGCCCCTTATGAAGTATATTCTTAATTTTATTATGTCCCAAGAARTATGAAGGGGAASAGACACCATTAAAAATACTGGGRAAAAYGATTTTTTTTTTCTTCCTCACATTTGATACCTTTCCTGCTTTTCCTTCTTTCCCTCCAAATAAGCTGTTGGTGGGCATTACTGAGAACATTGTGGTTTTGGTTTTTTTTTTACTCATTCATGCCATAGGTCATTACATGTGCACCACTGGAATGTACACATTGTTATCTAGTATGTCAATTGGTTATAATGATATTTTAAATAAAAAAGAAAAAAAAAAAAAAAGTTTGACCACCATGCATTTAGTGTTTCTTCATTGCCAGGTTGGAGTGGACTTCACATGGATTGCATAATAGGGCTGCACTTGAAAGCTAATTAGTGGCAGCCCTTCCTGAGAATTCATCTGTTTTTTAATGGCAGTGTTTTGTCTTGTGTGTGAGCTCACTCGTGGGCAGTGACATCTTTTTTCCATTTCTCCATTCCCATGGACTTTGGATGTGCCACAGTCTGTTAACAGCCACACGTTCAGTGTCTGTGTGACCACTGGGAACCTGTTCTTGCTTCTCTGCTGCCAGCTCCAGCCATCTCMATTCCTGGAAATGCAGCAGTGAGACCCTGTGCTGCTGAAACAGGTAAGCCTAGTGTAGCCTAGTGTATGGGGAAATCTTTAAAACTGAGACTTGGAGACACCTGAAGGATCTGACTTCTGGAGAGCTGACTTGGATGCCTGGACCACTCACTGCACTGGCACTTCTGCTGTGGGTAAGCCTCAATATAATGTATTTGATTTTCTTCACTTCCAGCAGGATTTCAGTGCTTTCTTAATGACTGCAGCTGCCCTTGAGCTGTGCTGTTGGTGCCTTTGTGCCCAGTTTCAAAGGAAAGGGACTGTGACCACAGTGCAGCCAGCTTTGTTTATCAGGGCCAGGAGTTTGTGGGATRCTCTTCTAGGAACATGGTGGGACTCAGAAATGCTCTCCTTTATGTGTAAATGTCAGCATAAAGTACAGCCAGTTTCCAGAGATTTGTTAATGCAGAGCAAGGCCAGAGAGACTGTCYTAGTTCTGCCCGTGATTTGTCTGGTGGCTCAGAACTGAAATGCTCCATAGTGTTGTTGTTGGCTTCAGTGRAACTCACTTGTGAATGTAGATGAGTCATTAAGCTATCCCTGTTCATTTTCCTTTTTGTGTCAGAAATGCCACAGAGACCTATGGAAGTTTTCTTTGTTACTCTGAAATGTTGCTGTTCTGTTTTTTTTTTAAAGCATGTGCTTGTGGTGGTTTTTTTTCACTGCAAAGTTTTTGCTCTTTTTTTACCTTCATAATATGGAAGGGACATGCCAGGCTGGAAAGATTGTACAGGCAAAGCTCTGGTAAAAAATGTATGCATTCTAGGAACCTCCTGCCATGTTTCATTTATAATAGCCAAACCTGTATCTTGTAAGCACTTGCTAAGAAAGCTGACATTTAAATCAGGTGCTGTAATGAGTCAAGGGTCTGCAAAATAAGGAATAGTCTCCAATCCTGGATGTGGGGAAATACATGGGTGGGGTTGAGCACAAAAATGGGAGTTAAAGCTAAGAAAGGATGCATCATCTTCCTCACGTAAGGGCAGAGTGTTCCATGAAGTTGTGTATAAGTTGCATAAATTGCCCATATCAGGAATTTTATATTATGGTTCTATTGCTGCACTTGGAGTTAACATGATGCTGTAGTGCACTTTAGTGTAAACTGGGTTGTTTGCAGCTTCCTGCAGGGTTTATTTGTGGCAGTGGCTCATCTTCAAAAGGTGCTGAAATTTATTCCTCATGAACATGGATGTTGCTGAGCACAACAGCTAATCTGGAACTGGTTCATTTCACTCATCATTTTGAGTGGACAGAGTTTCAGTTTAGTTACACTAAAAAAAAAAAAATTTTTATCTTGGATACCAAATTATGTAGTGCTGCAGATCTCACGCAGCTTTGGAACAGGTGGGTTTGTTAGCAGTTACCTAAGATTAAATACTCAAGAGAGTAAGCCAGCAGTCCTGTTCCCTGCTTGTCTGGCACACTGGGTGTTTAGTTTCCCAGCCAGCAGGGCTCTGTTCTTGAGATTGCAGTGGGAACTAAAAGGAGCAGTCTGCACTTGATACATACAGGAGATAATGCTATAATATAAATAGTGTAAGAGAGGTGTGGGCTGTCAGGATGGATACAGTGAAAGGTTTCCATGTTTTCGGCAGGAATAAAATGCAGCATTAAAATACCCTGGTTGCTACTACTACTTGGATTGAATGTCACCGTTTATCAGTTCTGATGTTCTACTAACAGCCTGGTGCAATCCACCCTCCAMTATGAAGGTTTCTATTGTGATGACTGGCCTGACACCTCCAGCTTCCTGACACACTGTGCTCTTCCAGCTCAGTCACTGTTGCTGCTCTCCCTCACATGATGCATCTTTATGCTGCTGTTTCAAATGACCATCCTATTCCTTGCAGGATCACTTGTGACCAGCATTAAGAATCCAAGGCAGAAGAAGGAAAAAAGATGGGGATGATGCTTGTGCCTGCAGGTGGCAGACAGCTGCTGCTGAACATGCAGATACGTGCCTCATGACAGGGCAGCTGGAGAGCCTGGGAAGTAGGAGAAAGGTTTTGAAATAACTGAATGAACCTATGCACATGGCTTGTTGTACCACCTTGCTTGACATGTCTCATCCAGGAAACATTAAGTTATAATTTTTCTTGCTTTAAATGGTTTACTTTTTACATTTCTATTGGAAGGAGAAGTGTACAGTGCAGTAGAAACAAGTTCACATCTAGATGTTTTAAATATTGAAATACCTGAATATCTGTGAGATGATGAGGAGAAAGTAGAGCCTTCAGTATTGACTATCTCCTGGTACATGAAAAAGCCCATTCTAAGGTTTTTTTCAGACAGTGAGTCAKAGTCTTATCTATTTTTGAAAATACTTTTAAAAAAGCAAACTCCTTCATTACAGTCCATACTTTCCCTTTAGCTAGTTCATGTTGTTGTAGCATGTTTTGTTAAAAATCTTTCTCCTTAGAGACTCCCAAGCTACTTTGGGATGTCAAAGATAAAGTGCCAAGAAAATGAACAGTGCTGGGCTGGCAGGTGGAGTTCAAGCTGAATCTGGTGAAACAATTTTCTGTGTGCAGGTTCCACATGGCTCAGGGTGCTAGAAATGCTATGCAGAACTTCTTGAAGTCACCAGGAAGGGAAGTGAGCCCTGGCAGCAAATTACCAGAAATTACAGCTTCATTCTAATGATGTTTCCTTAGCAGAAGTAAGGAACTTGGGATGCTGGGCTGTTTGTGATATTGCTCCTGTCCCCTCATCTCCCTGTAAGAACTAACAACAAAAATATCAGGTGGTATCATGAGAAATGTTACAAGGCAGGTAAGTRTAAATTGTCCAGGAAAAGTTAATGACAGATCCCCACCTTCACCACCCTAACACCCCCACCCAATTGCACTAATTCCTCTTACCATAGGTTTTGCTATTAAGTTTGGATGTGTTTTGATGATAAGAATCTTCCATCTTCTACTTTAATACATATACCAACTCAGGAAATAATTTTTTCTTGCAGCTAATACTGCTCTATTTTTGGCTCAAAAAAACCCAGATACCGAGGGCAAAATGTGTATATTTAAAATTCCATGGAGTTTGTGTAGCCGATCTGATTATTAATCACATACAGTTTAGTAAGTTGCATTTCTGTGAAACACTGAAACCATGTGGTGGGTAAGGGACAATTTTTGAGAACRGTCACAAGTTTGTGTCTTTAGCATTGCAGACCTTGTTTTCACAGTATCTTCATACAATAATGCCACTCTAGGAATGAGAAATTTGAACAAACTTTATGTAYGGAATGGGGCGAAAACCACCTCGTTAAATCCATCTGGCAAACCCCCCGGCTGTGGTGACAGACTGGAACTGCCACCTGCCCAAGCACAAGTGCAGGAATCCCTCARCTCCAGGTTCAGCTCTTCCACTGGTTCTGGCCTTCCACCCACCCTGCAGGACCTGCCACTGTCCTTGAGCCAGCAGAAGGGTGGTGCGGTTGAGTCCAAAGATGGCAGCACGACACTCTGGAGAACATTATCTCGTGTTTTGCTAATACAGAGGGGACTCTTYCTTGGCAATCTGACACTAAATTTTCAAGCATTAGGTCAGCAGTCTTTCCCAGCTGGCCCAAGTACTACAGCACATGTAAAGACAACAGGGCAAGTGTCACTGAGAGCACAATCACTATAGAATTACTCATGATACATGAGTATACCAGAACAAAATACGCATTTTCACTCATTTTGTGAGGAACAGGATTTTCTATGCTTGTTCTACTTGGGGACTTTAGCACTTTGACTCCCAGCAGTTAAACACCCTAATGTTGAAAAAAATTCTTCCATTTCCTTCTGCAGGAGGTAATTCCTCTTCTCAGCATCTTCACGAGCGCGTTCAGAATTCCTCAGCTTTATCTCCAGCATCGTGTATTTCTTTCGTTCTTGGTCCAGTTCCTCTTCCAGCCTAACCACCTGGTTCCTCAGGTCTGCACTTGTTTCTTCAATTCTTAAAATGAAAGGAGAGGAAAAAAAAAGAAAGGCTTGTAAAGTGGCTGGATAAATACAGCTGACAACTATAATAAATTTAAGTTGCTCCTCTTAGAGTTAACATATTCTAAGGAGATGTTTGAAAGGAGAGAACTAAATGCCGTTTCATTACTGTTGAACTTAAGGGCAGAGATTCYTTGAAAGCTGGAGCTTCTTTTGTTTGTATCTTGAGAAAAATGCTCAAATCTTAGAAAACAATACTTAYGTCCAGCACCAGACTGGATGGCTGAGGAGATGTATTAAATCCTCACTTAGGCGGTGTTCAAGTACATAATTCCAAAATAATCTTTTAACTTCTGTTTTCATCCTGATACTGTTTTCCTATATGGATAGCCAGTACAGAGGAATATCCTTATGGATGAAATAGGAATCAGGTCATAGTCCTTCCTCCCCATCTATCTGATGGTAGTTTCTGTAAAGTTTATCATTGACATTGGGGTGGCATAGATTTTACAAAACCCAACCTTTCATGAATTGGAACAACAATCCTTAAACGTATCTAGGCACAAAGCTCTGAAGCAAAATTCAGAGCTTTTCACTGAGGAGGTCAAAGAACAAGGTTCATGGGTTTGTGATTTGAAAGAAGCACAGAAGGGACAGCACTTGCTATCCTCCCCATTGTGTTTCCCAATCACAAGCCTGAGTAGTGGTGTTAATACCAAGGAAGGAGTATTTTCAGACAGGAATTACTGATCACTAGAATATGATTTTAAAAACTAGGGTTTTTCAATGAAAAATCCCCCTCCTCTAAATAAAACAAATACAATCTTTAAAAATTATTTCAAAGACAAAACCACCCCCACCTCTCACTGATCAGTCCAATATTCGACTGTGAAGCTGGGCTGTTGTATCCCTATGGAACTGCAACTAGGTAATTTTTAAACAGGGTAACTGATCATCAAGAAGGGCATGCTACTGTCTCTATAAGAAAAAACAAAACCAAAAACAACATGGGGCCTTTGACAGTCCCAGAAGGGACTTTAGGACCAAGAGGCAGTGCAATGTGTCACCTTAAACTTTCCCTTTCTGTTCCTTTAYGTAACAGCTAAAGATGGCAGTTTGATTATTGGCACAATTTTCACAATGAATCAAAGGCACACACTGACCTGCGCCAAGTTCAGCCAAAAACAGCCCCTGTGGATGAAGGCAGACCTTTCTCTCCAACCAGCTGTCCTCAGGATTAGGACACTTCTGAAGCTGCGATGCTTCACCACACACACACATAACAGATCTGAGCTGCCAATTCCATTTTTCTACCACTAAGTTKAGAGGTCAGCTACAGCAGCCTAGACTGAATTACACTGGGTCACAGTACTAAYATCCTGTATTCGTAACAGCCTTCTTCAAGATACTTACACTTTCTTAAGAGTCCCAGGTGGTAAACATGAATTACTGAAACTCAGCAGAGAATGTCTGATAATTATATTAACCTTGAGGGAGAAATGCTCTGGAACAGAGTGGTTACAGGAAGGCCATAAAACTTGCCTCCCTCTGACTAAGAGAGAGAAAATGGGTAGTTGATGATGAGAAATAACAGCTTTTCCATCAGCAAGTGTTCCTTACCTCTGCCCCAGGCAGGTACTCATTCTGCTTTCCCTCCACTTGTGTATGTGCCAACAAAAAGCTCATATKCTTTCATTAAAATATGTCCTGCTAGATACACTCAGCTCTGCAAACCTCACAAGCACATGTACCATGTTGGGGGACTAAATTAACTTCCAACAAAATAAAGCTGGTGAGGCAGCCTAAATTTTTCCTGCTAACCAGCCTCCCTCCTGTCTTTCCACAAATTTTCATGCAGTCTCAAAAGAAACTTTTGCACATGTAAATTGTTGCAAAATTTGTGAGAGCTGAAAAACTTGGCTTGAAATTCTTAGACTTGACAGCACAGTCCTTCAGGCTGTAATCCTGAACAGCTGGATTCATCCTGTTTAATACAAAAGGTAGTGATTGCATCTTGCCTGGTTTTATGAAACCCTTTAGCTCATTAGGCATTTTCCTCTCGGCTACTTTGCCCTATGTGACCTGGCCAATTTAGAGTCCTTCCCTCGAGCCACAGTGCTCTCTGCCCTGTCTGGCTACAGGGGAAAGGCAGGTGTTGGAGCTGAAGCAGCTCAGCAGCTGGAATGAGGAACAGGTCTCCCTGGATGGCCCTGACGTCAGCAGGTTAAGGTCCCCTTGAAACATTTCACCTGATAASAGATGGAAAACCACCTCTTCCCCCAGGCAGCAGGGCAAGGATGTGCAGCTACACATTTCCAAGTTCTGCAGCCTGGTATTTTTGTTTATCACTCTGTATCCCTGCAACAAGGCTTGCCAGGACAGCTCTGCACAATTAAATGCAAGGCACACACCCTCACCTCCCTCCCATTCTGCATCAGTAGGGCATCTAAAAAAACAAACCATGTAAGCCAYGACCTTCCCACCCTCATTCACAGCCCCTTCCTAACACCCCATGCTAGCAACTACTGCTGTTCTCTGCAACACAACAAGGTGGGGCTTTTCTCCCACTCTGGGGTGTTAGGTGGGAACTAAAACTGCTGCACAGCCTGATTCTCCTTCCAGCTCCATACACCAAWCCAGTACAATGCAAGAGGCAGAAATGCTGCAGAGGCTGGCAGGCCACCACCAGAGGAAATAATAAAATAAAGCAGAAAGGTAGCAAGTGGAATTCCTGCCTTAACAACTGGCCCATGGGAAGAGATCATAGTTCAGATATTTTTAGGGAACTACCTTAACAAGAAAGAAATGCCAACAAATGCAGCCCAAAGCTGTGCTGTGCAATACCAACAGTCTTACGTGTGCTTTTGGTACCAAATCTGGGAGAATCAGCAGCATTTCCATRCCTCAATTTCCAATCTGAGTTTAAATAACTGAAGGAGTAGAGCAGTAACCCCTTAACACAAAAAACCCTCAAATCCTGAGAACTCAATTACTTGTAGAAAACAGGACTACAGCGTTTCTTCAGTGCAGAGTACTGGTGCAACCGAGCAGCATGTATTATAACATGATACGCAATTTTGCACATGGTTGTATATTAAAATATATCTAATGCCTTTAAGCAACAGTATTTCATGTACCTATTTCTCTGAAAGCTTTCCTAAAAGTTGTTCTATTAGATACACTCATAAACCTAATACACTAACTCACAAATTAATAAATATGACTCCCTCATTATTAATACTTTYTACTTCCTACAGGCCCAGCCCTCAYACACAGCTCTTGCAAAAACTGAAAATAATTTTTCTGAGCTCAGATGGAGAGTACAGCACCAGCAGTTGTGCAAGGAAGGACCAGTTGGCAAATGACACAGTTCACACGGCTCCCCCAAGCCAGGCTGGCCCATCAGCCAAGGACCACTCTACATCAGAAACCAACAGTAAGGTTTCTAAMAGTTGAACACAAAAGGGCTGCTGAAAACATTGTAACTCAGATACAGTCCCAATACCACTACCCAAAAAAACCCTGCAGAAAATAGTCAAGAGCAGTTTCCTCAAGAATGCTTCTKTTGGGAAAAGCAATAAGAAGCCCTCAATTTTAGACTGGTTTGGTGCCAAGTATCAGCACCCACGCAGAAAAAGAGTTCCTTGCTGAGGCCTGACCATCCTGGCTCACAGYTCCTCTGTCCAAGATGTTTGCTTTGCTATTTCTCTGAGGACACTAAGAACAGACTTTGGCATTACCTGTGCAGTTCTCCTTTCCAGTGAAAACACAGAATATAAAATACTGRAATTCCCTGTTACAGAAATCCCCCTTGGGTTTTTCTGGTTTGTTTTTTTTAATGCTTTCTTAAATCAGAGAAAGAAAAGTTGGATTCAGAGAGTACCAAGGAAAGAGTAGAACCAAATCTGCTGTCACCCAACCCCAAACTTTAGGGCCAAGAACCTGATACCCTTGGTAGCCCCCACCCATGTTCAGACAAGGAGAATGTTGACAGATGACTTCCTTGTGCCCCCTGCAAATGACATTACCTTTTGATACTAGACTCATACTCAGTCCTCTGTTTGCTCAGTTCTGTCTTTAGCTCCACCACCAAGCTCTGTAAGGCCCTGGAGCACTGAACAGAGTCTCGGGAAGCTGCAGCTGGATCACTCTGCTCGCTGCTGCTGCTGCAGGCTTCAAACCTGTCCATGCTGTTCTCCAGATCTGCTGTCTTGACCTCGCTCTGAGACAGCGAGTCCTGAGTTACCCATTCRGTTTTTAGGGAGCTTAAAGCAGAAGAGTCACTGGCCCTGCAGGCTGGGCAGCTGCTCACAGAGTCCATCACAGAGATCTCACAGGATGACGTAGACCAGGTGGTGCTGGCCATGCTGTGTGTGCTGAGGGACAGGCTGGATGAAGGGACATTGTCRTAAGTGGAGAGTCTCTGGGAGGAACACGAGTCTTTCACTCGCTCCCCAGAGGCTGTCCGGCGATGGCCACGGAGGGAGTACAGGCCATTCATCAACCAGTTCCCGCTGGAGGAGAGGTTGGGGATGTCTAAGGATGAGCTGCCCAGCTTTGGACTCACAGACCGTGCTCCCTGCTGGCGGAAGGAGTATTTCCATGGAGGCAGTGTCTGTACTCTTTTACTGGGGCTTGTGGCAGGCTGAGTTGATTTGCCGCTCTGCTCTGGAGGAGTGATTTTCACTGCAGGTCCTGGAGTGGCCTCTAATGCCACAGCATTGCCAGAAGGCAGATCAGCAGGGCTGGCAGCGCTGTTGTGTGACCTGCTGTCCTCGGCGTCCTCCTCGGAGATCCACTCGACCGTGCTGCGCTGGCGCATTGGTCTGATTTCCAGCTGGCTCCCTGGCAGCTCCGCCTGAGGGACAGCAAAGATCCGCCCCTGCTCGCTGATCAGCACTGTCATCAGGTGCTGAACCAGTGATGTGCCTGCACGTGGAAAACAAAGGCAAACACTTGAGGAGACCAGGGAAGACAGTTTGCACCCAGTTCCATGSTCTGAACGGGACCAGAGCCACTGCTTAGTGAAAAAACAGCTCAGGCCTTCTGCTGCTCCCAATGTATAGAGAAACTTGAAGGAAGTGTGACACCTGCATTACACCCACTTGCAGAGGGTGGCCAGCAAGTGCAGAAAACACTCACAATTATTTTAACCCACAGAAATGAGCTGCCATTCTTATCCAGGAGTAGAGCAGACCATTATGAACAAACAGAGGACACCACTTACCAACCCTAACACAAAGCACTTCCTGGAAAAGAGGAAAGCCTTTAAAAGGGTGAATAAGCAATTCCTTTTAACTATTGCCTCAAATAGAGAATAAGGTGAACATAATCAAGGGTTCAAGGCAAGAGCCTGATTTTATTGATGAGTTTCTGGCCTAATAACAAGATRTACTGAGCTCACTTCTATTTTATATCTGTGAATTTAGGAAGATAACTAAATGTCTTAGAAATAAGGGTATTCCAACAATTTAGCTGCCAGACTTAAGGTATTTCTATTCGAAATTCAGGGTTTAAATTTAAAGAGAGACACAATTAGAATGCTTTTTGTTAAGATCTCAGTATCACTTTATTTAGGAGATTCAAATTACCCTGAAGCTAAAAAAATTGCGTGTTTCCACTTCTCCATTACTTTTATCTAACCAACCTTCTATTCTCATCTAAAACAAAACATTGCCAATCCTCTTGTTACGAGTGTAATGATAAAGTCTAAAATCCAGCCTACATATCCCAGTTTTTCTACAGTTCAGACCTGTGGCAACACAGAATTCCAGGTCAGATCACTGCAGTGTTTTTATATGATCATTAAGAGAGACCACAGCATCTGCACRTATGCACCTACTCACAGTAAGGCACCTCTGCCATCAGATGAGCTGCAGAAGGAAATGCCTGAGGTGATCTGAACCAACCTTGTCCCCTGTGCCACTGAGCAGAGCGCGCTGCTGGCCCAGGCTGAGCCACTAGGGGAAGTGCCAGCATCGCACACGGGCTGATTTCATCTGTCCCCACCTCCAACACTGAACAACCAGCACTGCTCCCTTCTCCTATTTTTGCACCTTCAATGGGAAGGTGTCGAATCTACCCTTAATAACATGGCCCACATCTCTGTGGTAGGTTTCGAGTCCCTGAACAACTATAATATGTCAGGTATTAATGTTCTGCAGTTATCCTTGTTGCTCTACAGTGAGCTGCCATCATGGGGGACACATCTGCACATGTGTGCAGAGCTAAAGGCACTGCTGCTGCTAAGGCATGGTGATATGGTCTTCTGTGAAGGGTTTGCATCGCACAAAATACCATGTCAGCTTTCCCCTACAGCTGGGGAGCAGAACCAGAGCCAAGGTCAGGCATTCCTGGGCACAGCATCTCCATCTGTGCCTAATTAATTCATCAATTCTTTCAGCAGGCTTGTCAAAACCCCACAAAACTTTATGCAAAGGCCTTACTAAAACTTTCACCACAGTAGCTGTGTTTCAGTGACACCTGGGAGAGGGGCTGTATACCAACCCTAATGTCAGCCTGCTTGTTCCATATAGAGGTAGATAATTTCAAAGCTTCAGATTTTTTTACATCCAAAATTAACAGGGATTTTCAAGTATTTTTTTGGATTCTGTGAAGTTTTGATCTATACAGTATGCTTAGAAGACAACACTTGTAAGACACATCTAGTTAGAGCCACTGTGGCGCAGCCAAAACTGCAGTCCTCTGCTTGGCCTGGACGTTCTCTGCAGGGAGCTGTATAACCACTGAAATGCACCAGTACTAAATGACTGCAGTTTGGTACTTAAGCACAGTTCTTCCGAGAAACAGCTGAGCTCTCATTTTAGCAGCAGGTTCAAAAAGAGTTTCAAGGGTGCAAAGGCATCACATGGTGGAGAGGAGAGACACTCCCAGTCCAGTGGTGAATAGCGTAAGATGCCAAGGAAATACCGCTCACAAGCCCTGATGAAAGCATAGTTTGACTCGTTCTGACTAAAGGCAATGATACTACTACCAAGGAATGTATGGCTTTCACTCACAGCTCCAAAACACAGCTGCTGTGCCATCCCACCAGAGCAGCACCTACCTTCCATCATGGTCACTGGATCCTCCATTTTGGGCCGCAAGATGTTTGGTCCAAATACTGTAGCCAGGTTCTGGACACTCATCTTGTTAATGCTGGAGTGAGCCTGAACTTCATCAAGGAACCTTGAAAAGTCACACCAGAAAAATCAAAGGAGGAGACAATTCAGAGTAAGTCACTTCTTAAGACTGTAAGCATTCAGTTTTGTCATGTTTTCATAGAACCCTGACACCTGAAATGATTGTAGGATCTACTGAAGCTTAGATGCTCAGTATAATCCCAGATCCCTCCTAGTGTACGAACCAGAGAAGACGGGATGTTTCCTGCCAGAAGTACCCACCTAGAAGGGACACAGCCTTCTACTGGGTCTGAAAGGACAGATTTTTGCATTTTTACCAGAATTCTCCAATTACATGGATTGACTCTGGCTAATTTTCAGTTACAGATATAACAGAAATATTAAGTCATTTCACTCATCTCTCTGTCCTAGAACTACCAGGCTGTGGAAAGAGCTTTATGGTTTGGCTTGCATCTAACAAAATGCAGATCACAGAATGGTTTGGGYTGGAAGTAGCATTTAAAAATCMTCTCCTTCYRACCCCCAGATAAAGAGGCAACTCAAAATCTGGGAAAATCAGCAGAGATTAATGGAGACAAGGCTAAGTGGAGTCCCTGGTAATCCAAGAGGAAGCCACTCCTAACCCCACTTCCAAACCAGAGCAGATGCCAGACTGGCTATTCTGACTGCATCTGCTACTCAGCTTCATAAATCTTCCAAGCGTGCAGTATCTGGACTAAGTGTCTATCTTTAGTGGTCTGTAGGTGCTTCTGAAATAAACAATATAATATATTAGTATCATTCACACCTGCTGCCAAGACTGTGGGTGACAGCAATTTGCTTGGCTGATCCTCTTGGATAAACYAAGAGCTTCCTTCAGGCAGGCTGCATTCACCTCCACGTGTTTAATAGGTGCAGTAACTTACACTTCAGGATTTTTGAATATTCATACTTTCAGAGTATATTATTTGCATAGAATACAGCCTCACAAAACTTAGAGACTTTTCCAAGTGTTAATTAATTTCACTTACTTGCATATGTATTTGAGGAGGTTGTARTTGGCTTGGGGCAAATTCTTCACCTGTTTAACCAGTTCCTGGGTACCCTGAGGGACAGGAAAAGCAAGAAGCAGAGCTATTAATGTAAATGCAGCAAAGCAGACGTGACTTTCCTTCAGTACTACAAAGTCCTCTTTCCATAGCCAAATGCTGAACAACAGATGATAACATGAAGAGGCTTTGCTTTAGAAGGTGTCATCCAGTGTGTTGTGCCATACCAAAACCCCAATGTCCAGAACTCAATTCAGTTCTCAGTGGAAATCCTCCTGTAAACTTTAATGGCTGGTACAGAAGTCTTCAATTGGTGAGGTCTGCCAGCCTCCAAAGGCTGCCCACTGGCAYAGGTATCAGTGTACCAGCCTTTGCAGCCTGTTTGAAACTTGGAGGCATTGAGTGCAGTGTTAATACACTGCAGTAATGCTCAGCAGAACAGAGGAAAGTTTTTTCTTAAAAAAAAAGCTAAATGAGCCCAATTCAACTGCCTCCTTTTTAATGACATACTTCCATTTGCAGTTATTCTGACTTGGGACATACTTCCTCACAAMATTTCTGTCTTTACATTAAAATATGAGACATCAGCTGAAGGAATGACTTAAACCCCTGAAGCTACTTCAATCATCTAATGAAAACCTCTGASTCAGGAGGCTATTGTCCTGCCACAATCCCATGTATCATTTGCTTGTTCCTGTCAATGCTGCTGTTGCCCTGGAGATTTGCTTATTTTTGGAGACAACTAAACATTTTGTAGAAAAACAGATACCAAAACAACTTAAGGAAGAGTGATAGCTGCTAACTAATGATAGAGAAATTCCAGAAGTAACTGGTTCCAAAGAAGTGCAGTTGAACATCCATTTCAAACTCTCAATCAATTTTTAAGGACTGTTAGGAAGGGAATTGTGTTGGCCAAGCTCTTGCAATGTCTTCCTGAGTTCTCTGTTCCAGCTAAGTCAGAAAGATTCAGAGACCAGTCACTACTCCTGCCTTCCTCCTTATTACCTTAAATATATAGGTATTTTTTTATTCTGTATACCCAGCACAAAAAATGTTCTCTAATAAAAACCTGAAACTTGAAATTCTTAAAAGCACTAATCCCTTTATAATTCATCATCTTAAACACTATGCTGATTTAATGGCGACACCAATAAAAGGCCAGTCTCTTCTGAAAATCTCAATCCTCTTTTTCAAACTTCTAAAAATTTTTCAATGAAGGACAGCTGCTACTGATGTGAAGGTTAAGGTCAGTTGTTCAGGTCAACCAGCTTTCAAGTGACAAGCTTGAACCAGAAACAGGTGAGCTAACAGATCTAATTCCCTCTTGAACTTTGCTCTGTAACCCAATTTATTTCAAATAGGGAAATCAGGATGGTATATTTGGTCCTGTATTTCAAGTGCTCTGAATTAAAATGCCATCGGCTCCACTAGATGTAAGAGGAARCTTTGGAACTCAGGCAGCTGTGAACAGCAGGAAATAAGGTACAAGATGGTACCTGAAAGAAAAAAAGGGTTCTGAAAATTTATAGTCTATGCTTTTTCACAAGGAATCCCAGGCATGGTATTGAACAGAGAGTATCTTTATATTCATCACAATACAAACATCTGCCCGGTAAAAAAAAAAAAAAAAGCTCTCTCCCCTACTGCAGCATTTATAAGCTCATTTATCTATTTATCATAGATTTGTCCTCACCAAGGCCTGACCAACATAGCCAAGGAACATCACAATGACAGCCCAGAGGAACACGTGAGCTTGAAATCTCTGCAGCAGCACTGAGCATTGCCTATGGCTGCAGCCCAGCAAGCAAGAGAAGCACTGTATTATCACTCAYACTGGGATTTTGCAGTAATAACTCTTTACCTCCTTAAAAATGCTGCTTTCCAATAAATGATCCCAAGCCCAAGGATTTTGCAATGTGTGTAACATATCAACACCAGTTTGGAGCTTCTAATTTGGCTGGAAAACTAGCAACACTTTAGAGTTCATAAAAAATTCAGATGCCTCTTTAAAAAATGCTCAAAGCTTGTGTTCTATCTACTGAACTGCTCTGTGTATCTCTAGAGTACAGGTATTAGTGAGGGCTAAAATACTACCATGTCAAGTCAGCTCAGACTCAAGTGAGTTTTYAGACTTTTGAAGATCTCTCTTGCTCTAACATTGTTTTTAATTTTCAAACCCTGATCCCAATCAGCTGGGATCAGAATAAAATATTTTTTAATGCTGCAGTCAGTCCTGCTGAAATACCTCAGCTCTCAGCACTCAGCTCTCAGGAGACCTCAGCACCACCCAAGGTCTCGTTATGTCCTTGTTGGCATTCAAACACCAGAGATGAGCTGGGTGCAGAGTGAAGATGAAAAGCAATTTGAATAAAACTTAGGGCAGTACTTGAATTAGGCCAGGTTAATAATCACTGTAATAATTCCTATCACGGTCACATTGTAGCAGACAACAATTTTATCCAAAGGGCTCTTTTGCCTTAAGAAATTCTGATTATTTTGGGTGTGGGGTGAGGGTGACCATACAAAACTAAAGAAAATTGTATCGAGTCAAAAACTTTCAAGCAAAAAATTARAAGAAAATAGTACCTCAAATTAAACCACTATGATTACATTTTGTTTCGAAATACTTCTACAAAATAAAACATTTTAAACTCCCTGCTGACCATTATGTGTTAAAAACCAAGGTTTCAATGAAACCAAGTTTCTGAGCAGGGGGATTTTCCATGTGGGAGGCGAGTCAGGCCCCACAGGCTAGGTATGACTTTGTGCTGCGTTCTGCTCCACGTGCTACTGTGCACGTACAGCCTTTCCACCCCTGCTGTGTGCACTCCACCTTCCTTTCCAAAACGGTAAACAGCCCACGTTGAGGTTCCAGATTTCCCCAACAAAACCAAAATTGCTGATGTTGACAACAGCACCTTAACAAAACAACCCTGTGCTACGAGCAGTGCTCTGTTTTGAAAGTGTGCATTTTGGCTACCTAGTGCTCCCCACTGCCTTTCTAATCTAAAGAGAATTCTGCTTTGCAAGTCATTTGAGTCTGACCTTGCTCACACAGATGTTGCTTCCAACTGCTGAAGCCTGTGCAGGCAAAATCAGGCAAACACAKTTAATAAGCTGAGCAGTGATGTACAATTATGTCTGCCCAATTTGGCAGTGTCTCTATTCTTGTGCAATAGTGCTTAATGGATCCAAAACTTCCCAGCCTGCACATCTGATGACCAAAATGAAACCAGCTCTACTGCCTTAGAAATGCTGCTGTTTCTTGTGAAATAACYGCTGTGGGGTCTGTAACACAGCATCCTGCAGAGATGCCTGAGTTCACTGAGGATAAGACAGAAAATGAGCAAGTTTTGGAGGCAGTAGACACACACCTCTACCTACTAAAATACAACACTAGTGCACTGGCACCCTGGTATGGCTGTGTCCAGAATGCAAATGCATATCCACGTGTGATAACATGCTGTGTCATGCACAGAAATCTTCTCTCACAGTTGACTGGAGGTTACAYCATTTGAATGCAGAGAGTAGTAAACTTGCCTTTAAAGCATTAGAACTTATTTTGTCACATATGGTACATTTGATGCATGCAACATCATGRAGGACAATCTCCACAGAGCCTTCTGCCCCTTGAACTGAAGGTGAACCCCAGACACACAGTGACGAACAGTTCTTACAAATCCCACCAGAGACGAAGATGAGACCACACACAGAGAAGGGACAGAACTGTGGACCACAACTTACAAGCCCTTAGRCCTTTGCTTCTTTAGTAAAGACAAGGCACAAGTTACAGCCCTTGCAGCTTCTTTAAATTTCTCTACTAGAAGGTGGCACCAGACCTAAGGTGCCTTTTCAGTCTGTGAAGGGCTACAGGATGACCACAAGAACAACAATATGGATGAAACAGATCAATAAAAAATATATCGTAAATTATCCTGTTCCATGACTGCCTCAGACTTGATGGTTTTTGTCAGCCCTTTCCCTTGCCTGGAAACCAAAGAGAAGAACATCGTAAGAAGGTTCTGGCAAAGTATTCATAGCATTATTCCCCCCAGCCCCGACCCCAGTTTTGGGATAATATCATAGCCTGCCTTCTGGTAGTGCCTTTTCTCTAAGAAATGCAAAGACCATTGCACTGATCAAGGTCTTGTCCACCAAAATCTTTGGGAAGGAGAATATACTGTTCTGATACATGAAATAGAAAACACAGAAAAAGGGARTGACTCCACACAGCTTGTTAGTGAGTGAACAGCAAGGCTGAGAAAGAAACCCAGATTTCTGCCTACCTTGTATCTCTTGCTAAGTATGCTACACAACAGCTTTGCTCAGAAGAAAGAAGCACTAGGCTACAAGACTGACTTCTTTTAAGCAGTAGCCTGTGATAACAGCACCCAATTCACAGCTTCAGGAAAATTCAGGAAAAGGTTCCCAGAGACTTCAATTGATTTAAATCAAGTTTGAAGAGTGATGAGAAAAAAACCTGTACTACATTGAATCTTGGGAACATCCACTGAGGAGGCAGATTAGAAGGATCACTGACCTCTCCCTCATCTTTTGAGAGTAGCTGTCCACAAGAAAGAAAGTCTTCGTATTTGGCAAAGGGGATGACAGGCTCTGGCAGCTCTCGAAGGTAAAGCTTCAGGAGGGACGCCACAGTGTGAACATCTGTGTTGCTGCAACAGAGAAGAGGGAAGGAAATTTAGAAACCCAAACTACCTGATGCCTTTCACTGGGGGTGCATCAAGGTCCCTCTTAGGGATAGGGACAAAGTAGGCACATGGAAGGAAGCTCTTCCGCGGTCATTTGTACTGGGCAAGAGAGTCTGCCTGGGAACAAGGAAAATCTCCATTTTGTCAAGACAGAAATGCACCTCAGGCAACACAGGCAGTGCAAGGGGTATGCCCATGATACTGCTCAAGGTAGGGGGGCACTGTGGTTCCTCTGCCAGTGTGGACCAGGAATGTGAGCAATAGTCCAGGCAAGTGTACAGTAATCACACAGCACTGACAACAGAGCTCTGCATCCTGATTCCATAAYCTCTGAGCCTCTCACTGATCCTTCCTGATACTCTCCCCAGCCAGCACACACACACATCTGACRGGCCAGGCTCCCAAGGGGCCTGACCAATCATTCAGAAAAAATGGAGGAAGTTGTATTTCTTCCAGGTCCTCTATTGGCCTTTGGTATGGCTGCCTGGCTTGTGGCATCTGGAATTTCTTACCCCATCTGTTACAAAASCTTTTACTTTCCCTCCCAATCCAGGAGCTTCTTTTTCYTCTTCTTTCTCCTTTGCTTTAAAGCTGGGTTTGAGGTATCAGACCCCATGATGACACACCTGCTCTTCTCTTCCCAGCTATCCAGCTTTTGGTGCATGGTGATACCTCTCCCTCATTCCAAGTTTGCTGTTGTACAATGTTGTTAAACATTGCARATGACCTCCACAAAGGTTTTGGTTCTCCAAAGTCTAAACAGATAGTCCTCCCTATCCACCATTGACCTGAGAGTCTTTAAAGAATTCTGAGAAAAACACGTTGGTAAACATTGGGCAAGAGAGCTTCAAAACTTCTTGCCAAAAGCTGAATCTCTTCTACTTTGTATCTTTTTTTTTTTTTTTTTTTTTTTTTTTTTTTTTGAGCACACAGCTAGAACAAAACTTCTAAAATTACAACAGGAAACTGTCACCACTTACTACTAATCCTGCTAATGGTATTCCTCTTAAACAGCTCCATCATATTTGATAATACCAATTTCGCGCAGTGGTCTTCTTAAGTCGATTACAATGTTTTACAAATTAGATCAGTACCCTAGCTCTTTTCTTTTCCTCTGGTGTGGAGTTTCAGGCGTGGATGGTGGATCCGACTATCACTGAGAAGCAGAGGCCAGAACAGAGCTTCAGGGCCTCTGGCCACAGTAACTGTTCCATCCACAATGCCATGTGAAATCCAGCCAGACTTTCAGTGGCATCAAAGTGCAACAGGAGCAGACTACTACAGGTGGTTCCAAAACAGCAACACCTGGCCTTTCATAAGATTATTCATATGCACTAAAAACCCAAATTGGAAAATAAAGCCTTTTAAAAAKAAACATTTAAATTATCAGTCATCACAAAGGTCTGATCCACCATGGGGCTGGCAGGCTGAAAGCACCTGGGACATCMCTGTAGTTGCAAAAGACATCTAAAAGCACAGACTGCAGCTGGAAAATAAGAAAGGATATTCCTTTCACTGCACCTGATTTGGAAARAAGCATAAGGACTTCACACTTCTGCTGCCTAGGTGCTCCAGGCCATACATAGGTAAGTTTTAGTTATGCACAGAGAAAATKATGGCTGTTAGGAGGAGAAGCATTTCACTTAGGCAGAATGGAACTGCCTCTCCCTTGCTGCTGTCTGTGACTACAAATACACRAGTTAGACTGTATGTATACATGTGGACATGGTGGAAAGAGCAAAAGGCAGTAACTGCGGGATCCTTAACTGTCCACCACTCAGGCACTCCAGGCTTGCTTCCTTTAATTCTGTACTGAACCTTCAGTTACCATATTACGCACTGACTTACCCGAAAGGCAGGTGCTCCTTCCTGGAGGTCCCTAGCACCTCTGTAAAAAAGGGGAGACTTGGCACTSATCTATTTAGCCAGTGCAAATGCCTATGGAAATAAAGGTGCTTTCTGTGYCTGAGGTGGTAAGGCACTGGAACAGGTTGCCCAGAGAAGCTGTAAATGATCCACCCGTGGAAGTGTTCAAAGCTGAATGGGCTGTGAACAACCTGGTCCAGTGGAAGGTGTCCCTACCCATGGCTGGGGACTGCAATAAGATGAACTTTCAGATCCCTTCCAATCCAAACCATTCTACAATGCTATTTTGCTTTAAAAATGCTGTGTGGAGGCTTGGTTTATCTTCGTAATAGTGAAGTTCGTACAGATAAAGCTAAGGTGAAACACGAAATTGAAACTGTCCCTAGTTCATTCCTTCTGTAGATACTCCTGTTCCAGAATATAAGCATGAGCACTGAATTAAGATAATGCATAAGTACCAAATTAAGATAATTCTAATTCKGAACTAGAACACCCAGATATTCAGTTAAAAATACAAAGGTTTTGTTTAAGAGAAGATTAAGTGAGACAATTTGATGATTTCAAACTTACTTTCTTCATGAAAATATTTCTAAATGTTTGACACTTCCATTTAGGGAGCAAATACTGTTTGTGGTTATGAATCAAAGAAAGGAGGATGGGTGGTCTGGGAAGCTGAGGGAAGGGAAGAATTAGAAGAATGTTCCAAACAAACTCTGAAGATATMCTTCCCAAGATGAGACCAAACACTGTTTCTGCCCACACAGGAGAGAGTGCTAGCTCTTCCTGCAGTGGTAGGCAGGGAAGGTATTGGCAACGTTGAGACTGGCTGCAGATCCAGGGGAAGCGATCCCCTAAGGTTCCTGTGCTGGTAACACACCAGATGCCACCTGCATCACCTGGAAAAATGGGGCTGGGAGGTACAGCGAGAAATGGTGCCAGGTCTCCAAGACAAGATCCCAGACCTGACCTGTGATAGAGTTTACACCAGAGCTACACAATGCCCTTGGATCCAAATATCTCTGAAATTCAAGGTCTCTGTTGGGGTCAAGCCCTATTTGCACAATACTGACCTTCACTCCAGACAGGATGCACCTGTGACAGAGTGGAGGAAATGTTAGTTACAGGTAAGGGCCCTTTCAGCACCCACCTTTCTGATCATCTGACTGCCAGGGCCAATGTAGAGATAGCACAGCTGGGAGCTGCCCCTTTCCTTGCTGCCCTTGGATGGAGTGCTCAGAGACAGGGCTGACACTCTTCCCAAGGGAACTGATATTAATCTGAGCATCTACAAATCAGCCTCTGGCATAGCAGCCAGGGAAGACATGTGAGATGGCGGTGACTATTCTGAAAGCAGGTGACAAAGGAAGAGTCAAGATATTGCCCCAGGCAGATCTGCTGGTTGAATGCAACATGTGAAAGCAGYACATCACCTAGCTCACCTCTGTCATACCCATTTCTATGATGGGATCTCACCCAGAGAAAACTGCTAAGTTTGCTGCACCCAAATCTAGCAATGCTTTTCATTCAACATTTGCTTAAACTGAAATACTGGAGAAGTCCCATACAGATCAATGAGCTCTGCTCCTCCACTGAACAAAGGCCTCCACACCCAACATCATGCAGGAGRAAGCTCCATCGGCACTTTCAACAGAGAGAATGATGGTGTGGAAAGAACAATGTAAGCTAGGATTGCCACTGCACAGACATTCCTGGAAGATTTTACATGTCACAGGTACACCAGCCTGAATTTGGTGACTCACCTGTCAAAAAGGGGTTTCTCTCCACAATCAAAAGAATCTTGCAGATCTTTGACAAGGTTGGCTTGTCCAGGCATCCGAAAGAGCCCCTCCTCTGTAAGACCTCGCTCCCGAATAAAATCCACACACTGTTCCACCAGCAGTGGGGCCAAGCGCTGGCCATACTTCCGCTCGGACTGTACGGTGTCCTCCAAGCGCTGTCCAAAGATCCCTGACAGCAGAGAGCAAGAGAGACATCTGGGTGTCAGCTTAAACTCTTCCTGAGCTACTGCTTGGGACACACAAGGTGGGAAACTTTCACATGGAGGGGGCTGCCTGTGTGAAGGTCCAGTTTATAACAGACTCTGAAGAATAAATCTACTTTTAAAAACAAGAATTACATGATGAATATMTTTTTCTTTCTGCTTAACAGTGCTTCAAACTATGCTCTGACCTAAGCTGGTTTATATATCATACACAAGGAAGGTGGGTTTAAGGTTATGTTTATGGCTACCCATGTCTCCGCTATATTTGAATTAAGTAATTATACTTTCATTGCATCTTCCACCCCAAGAAGACCAAAACAAAGGCTACATTGATTTTATGTGACACATTTCCTTCCTGCCTGCACCCACTGCTTGGGCTGTCACACAGCTGCCCTCCCATAGTTGGCAGCTGGCTGCCCCAACAGGCAGCAATCCCAGTAGGAGGGGATTGCTAACACAACAGAGTACAGTTGCCAACATTAGAGCTGGATATTGTGAGAATTGTCCACCATCCTGGGAGACCATTTCTTTTTCCTTTAATTAAACTTGCTGAACGAAAATTAAAAAAAAAATAAACCCAGACAGTAGAATGCATGCAAAATCCATTGCCTTTCCTACTAAAAAGTGCATGCTGCACTTGCATCTTGAAAATACCAGAAATGCCCCATTCTCTAAAACTAGTCTGGCCTAGGTTAATTTTTAGTCAGATCTACTGTAGACACATATCATTAAATATGAAGCACTGTCTCTTTGGAGAGCATGGAGTTCCTGGCCAATACTGGCTGTTGAATACCAGCCACTCCTGGCATCAGATCTTTCGACAACACAGAAGGGGCTCAGGCTGAGCTCAGGAAGAGCCAGATGTCTTAGCCCAATCCCTACCACTAGGAGACTGCTCCATCTAAAAGGACTGCCACTGAGTTGTATTCTGAAACTCTAATTCTAGCACCCTACAATGTTTGGTGGAGTTAGGGAGAATAGTATCCAAGTTAATAATGTTTTGGGAATAAAAATTCAGTAAGTGAAGGAATCCCAGAATATACTCCCAGAATTTCAGAATCTACTCCCAGAATTTCAAGTAACACCAGACCAGAGCAGATAGGAAATTCTGTTCAGGGATTTCTCAAAGCAACCGTTTTCTACAGATGATGATCTTTAGATCATTCATTCAGCACTCAGTTAAACCTGCAGGTCTGAAAAAAAAGGAGCATGCAATACTGGAGTCACACTGTTTCACAGCCAATAGCCAGAAGCAGTGTTTAATACTTGCACATATGTGCTCATACCAGGCCAGGGAATTTGGTAGTTTCTGAAGCCTTTACTTACTTTCCCCTGCTAGTGATCATGTATTCAAYTTTTTTTTCTTTTCAGTGTTGCATTCATGAGAGGCTGATAACTGCTAGTAGAAGTTTCCTAACCATTGCTCCCTGTTCTTCATAGGAGACACCATGACAAACCATACCTCCTTGCTATATCCAGTTCAACCCTGCTGAATCCTCAGTGAAACAAACCTCCCACAATCAGTTTTAGCTCACTGAATGAAAACTGCAAGAAGGATCCTGATGCCAAATTTCCTTTCCCTGCCTATTATACGTCAGAAGACAGAAACTTCCCTTACACCACAGCCTACACAACTGCATTACAGTATCAATGCCGGAGGGCCACGAAAAGTCTCARAGGAAATTCCCTCATCCTGGCAGGAGGGTATGCCCTGAAGCATGGGAGTAACTTATCTTTACCACTGTATATATTGGATTTATTGCAGAGTAAAGGTTTTACTAGTTCTCATTTCTAATCTCTTTAAATTTTCACTGAGTTGGGTGTCTCTGAAGTCAGGTTCTAGGATAGGGAATCTCTTTCYGCTTTTGCACACATTGCTTTGTAATCTCATCAAGTAATCCCTGCTGTCATGATGGGGCATATCTATTTCCTTAAAATGAGCCATGTTCACTTTTCTAGGTGCAACAGATACAGGTTCAGGGAGGTCAGGATGGAGCAGATATCAGAGCAATAGCAGCTCTCTTGTCTCAAATCCCTACTTGCTGAATCTGTTTCCTAAGGGTTTGTCTAGAGAAAACTCTGGGAAAGAAATAAATGCTGTGTATTCCCCAGGTGTAAAGCACATATACCATGTTCTTCTCTAAACTCATGTTCTGACGTTCTGCACTTAGATCAAGGACAAAGGCAGTGTCAGACACACACAGAACAACTGTATGCATAATCTCCACTGGAGCTCTGTCTACTTTTCCCCAGCCTTGACTGGTCTGTGCTCAGCAACATTTCTAATTCATTTCAGGCAACATCATTCCTTGCCTTCACAATCAGCTTGGATCACAGCAGCAGTAGCTATCTGTAGGTGCAATCTGCCTGTGAGTGACTTCTCGTGACAAGTTGACTACAGTCAAATAGAGACCACTGACACAGAGATTAAGCAATGTGTGCTAAAATAACAGAGATAGAAGGGTGATCTRCTTTGAGACTCAGAGCAGCAGATGTGCCTACTTCAGTCTCCCAGGGCTACACAAGGCAAACTGGGAAACGGGTGTCCTGCTGGCTCGGTATCACTCATCTCATTTCCGCCAGGTCTCTGAGCTTGTGAAAGTGATGTGGTAAAATGTCCCTGAAACYACCAGGATCTGACAACATCTCTGGTTTGGACAGGGACTGCCCTGCCTTCCAAGGAGAAGCAATGTGGAGCCAGTCACACACAGCCTCATCCGCCGGCTCCTCAAGGCATGGGCCTGTTTTTAATCACTGGGCCCTGCAGCTCAGACTGAACTTGGCAGCGCTTCACTCCATCTGATGATCCCACTGGAAGACATTAAAGCCTTTTTCTTCATTCTAAAGAAGAGCAGACAGCACCATCCAGTCACATTCCAGACAGAGTTAAGCTGGAAATAAAGCCAAAAGCTTACCAGCAACCTAAGGGTTAACCTTCCTTGTCATACCCTTATCTATAGCTAGGCCCTTTTGTTTGGTTTCAAAGCAGRAAAAAATTCCAGCATGCCTGGAACCACATCCTTAATCTCACAAAGATTCAAGAGATACTAAAAAAATGGCCTAGCAGTGCTACAGAATTTCTTTCCTCCACTTGCAACAAGCCGCTTCTGTTCTTTATAGATTTAGGTGACTCTGTGTGGAAAAAGCGAGCCAGGAATGATGTACTGACTAAGACACAGACAGACTCTCTGTCCTGGCCTGAATAGCTCTCCCACCAGCTCCAGGCATACAAAGCCTATACATTCAGCTATGCTGTCCAGACATGCAGTGGGCAGGAAAATATATGCTCCCTGCTACATTTTTTTCCTCATCAGAGGCTCTGATTTCAACCAAAATAAACTAAAGACAGAGATAAAGTCAGTTTTGGAGTGGGTTTTCTTCATGGGGAAGACTAAGGACCCGGCATCTGCTTAAAGTGTGAAAAGTCCAGGCACACCTACGTCAGCTGTATGTACAGCTTATTACACACACGTTAAAAGATGTGTGGGAAGATAATCAGGCTTACACCTGGATGCTGCTCACAACAGTACATACACCCGCGCATGCATGTGGTGCCTCACAGACACGCAGTTTACGGATAGAGAGATTGTGTACGTGCTCACCTGCACAGGTAAGTGCCTGCTTTTACCTTCCCACTTTCAAGCTGAAGTTCACATTTAYCTGTCCCTCTCACACATGAAAGCAATGAGAAAAAATCACGGGCAGGCATTCAGAAATGCATATGCTTCCACAGCACAAAACACACACAAATCTTGAACTTGTTTCCCCTCCCCTAGCCCACCCAAGCACACACTACGTGAATTACTGCAGCAGCAACAGAAAAAGGAGTTTCATGGTAGGAGCCATATGTACCTAAAAAAGATAATCCTGAACAACTAAACAATCCAGCCAGCCAAAGAATGCAAGAACAAAGGAAAAGAAAGGAAGCAACAGACAATTAGGAATCAAGAAAAATTGATGAAATAACTTGCTCAGAGTCACACTGAGGTAGAACTTGATGTTTTCTGACCCCGTTCCCAGAAAGAGTAGTGTCCATATAGTAGAAGCTGATTGCTCTTATCCACATACATCAATTTAAATACACTGTGTATACACAAAGAGAAACACCTCTCCACAGAATTATCTTCACATACTAGCTTGGCACCCAGTAGCATTTTTGGCCATAGACTGYGTCCTTTCCACTCCTTCCCCCTTTGTAAAGTCAGCTCCTATTTCAGATTCCCAGCCTCTGTCTAAGGTTACACTCAAGTATCTGCTTTTCCTCTAGGAAAAGAAAACCATAACAAATCTAAACTGTGGAAAATCATCTCATACCTCTTGTTCTTGTGCAGCACTCCGCTACATGACAGGCGCTGAGCTTCAAGCAGAAACCAGGCAGTGTCAGACAGCAGGAGCGGCAGAGAAAGAAAGTCCTGACTTCAGGCATCAGACACATTCTGAGTCCCAGCACTGGCAGCTTTCCATTCACCCAGTGCTACAGAGCAGAGAGCAGCCGATCTGCCCTGGGAGATAATCTCGGCAGCACATCTGGTCCTAGCTCCACAACTCGGCATTAATTATGACTTGTGCAGAAAGCATTTGAAATATCCAATGAGATGCAGAGCTCCCCGGCTCGCTCCGCACAGGGAAGGAGAGAGGAGAAAGACAGGCAGGTAGGGTCTTGCCCACCCTCGAAGCAGCCGCCAATGTAAACAGCCGCTAAGTATGGGTCACAAGTTTTAACAAAGGCATCCCCCATCGGCTCTGTAATATATTCATGCTCTAATTGCTTGTCAGATCTATTCTAGATAGCTGGAAAAGCTGAGCAACAGTTGCCGTCTGCATGCCACACTGTGGATCCTTCCTGATACAGGCAATATTGCTGTGCTGCAAGCAACCTGGTGCCCTGGTCTGGCCTCTCATCTGCTTGCAAAGCACCAGAAACAGAAACCTGGCTTTGGAGGGKAACATTTCCCCACAGTAGCCT